CCTCAGTGTCCCTGTGCCAGGATATTTGGCGTTCAAATATTTTATTCAGAGGCTCAATTGCTGATCAATTTCAAATTTGAAACAGACAAGGATTTTCTAGCAATTTTAGTGTTCAAATTATTTTGTAAAATATATATTTTGTATTAAAAAATTTTGTGTTCAATAAAATTAACTTACAGTAAACTTCTATAACTTTACACTTTCATCTGCGGAGTATACCAAATTCAAGGGCCACATCATACCTCTTCAGGATCTCTGTAGAAGTACAGATCAGGCATGACCTCCCATGGGTGCTCTCTGGAGATGGTGCCCCTCATCCTCAGCACCTCTCTGGCCAACATCCACCACATCAAACCCACGGAGTGGGGACCCTAAAACACAAAACATTTAAAACTATAGCATATGCATTTGGCAGACGCCTTTATCTAAAGCGAATCGCATTGCATTTGAGGTACACTTTTTCCAGCTCTTGCTTTTCATTCAGGGTTCAATTCCCAGGCAGTGTTCACAATAAGATCTATAATATGCAATAGGATTCCCCTGGTAATCAAACCCATGACCTTGGCGTTGCTAGCGCCATGCTCTGCTGTTTGAGCTTCACACAGAACAAACATAGCATATAGATTAACAGTGAGGTTTCTCATTCATACTTTGTTGTTGCATGGGATGGCAATGTCGACATATCTCAGAGGGGAGTCTGTGTTGCAGAGGGCAATGGTTGGGATGTTGACGTAAGAGGCCTCAGTCAGCGGCTGGTGGTCAGCGCGAGGATCAGTCACGATCAGGAGGCGGGGCTCCCTGAAAGCAGCCTGGATCTGATTGGTGAAGGTTCCAGGAGTGAAACGACCAGCGAAGGTGGTCGCGCCAGTGGCAGAGGCAAACTTGAGCACAGCTCTCTGACAGGAAAGAGCAGTGACAATCAACATCGCTAAAATCACCAAGAGTCATGTTCACAAAATGCATCCAGTAAAAACATTGTGGCTCAGGTTACTATCAAACCCCAGTCATAGGGTAAAAGCCCTCATGGTGTTAGCGAAATCCCGGCCAAATCAATCTAGCACACTTCCGACACCCAAACACTGACAGCAGTGCCAGGTTTTAATAGTGTGCCTGTCTAAAAACTTGGGATTTTAAAACAAATGCTGTTGACAATGTCGTCACTGAGTTTGCCAATTACCTGGCCAGTGTTTCTGGAGGAGATAACACAGACATCAGCTGGATTTTCAATGGCAACAATAGCACGAGCAGCCAACAGCAGTTTCTCCCAGGTCTTTTTAAGGTTGATGATGTACACGCCTGCAGAAATGCAAAACTCTGATCAGTTAAAGCAAGGGTACCCAAATCTGAACACTTTTGAAAGAATATTTTCTAAAGAAGCCCCTGAGATCAAGTTAATATTTCCATATTTTAACAAGATTCACTGTTCTATGATGTCAGTTACTGGTCACATGGAGAAACCATTTCTTTTTTTGTTTTATGTTGATTGTTGTTTAAAATATAAATTAAGACAGAAGCATTACTACTAAAACAGTTGTACTTTATTGATATACCAATTTGGATTAATGTAGCTTTGGCCACTATCAAACCCCAGTCATAGGGCTCATCAGCCCTCATGGTGTTAGCGAAAACCCAGCTAAATCACTTTAGCACACTTCCGACACCCAAACACCGACATCAGTGCCAGGCTTTAACAGTGTGCGTACTGTTTACGGATTTAAACCAATGTGAGATGCTGCTCATGCCAACTCAATGAGGAAACGTGCAACTTATTCCAAAGATCAACTAAGTTATAGTTAAAGACTGATAGAACACCTGCAAGGCATCTCTAAACCATATTCTATTCTTCTTGCGCTTCTTACCGTCACTCTTTCTCTTGTAGACGTAGTGCTCCATCTGGAAGTCCAGGTTGGTTCCTCCCAGATGGGTTCCTGCGGCCAGGAACTTCAGCACATCCTCCTCCTTCATTTGAAGGACATCCAGACCTCCGGACATCGTGACCACTTTCCCTGTGTAACGAGTTTAGTGGGAGAGCTAGGAGGAAATACAGGAACAAAGTTTAGTCGAGAAGTTATAGATAAGTGGAGTAAGTATTTCTAACATGAATTGGGATGAATGTAGCTCTGGTCACTATCAAACCCCAGTCATAGGGCTCATCAGCCCTCATGGTGTTAGCGAAAACCCAGCTTGATCACTTTAGCACACTTCCGACACCCAAACACCAACATCAGTGCCAGGCTTTAACGGTGTGCGTGATGTTTACAGGTTGAAGACCGATCGTGCATTCTTGAGATGCTACAAAACACTCACAAAGTCGATTAAATGTGGAACTTAATCTAACAATTAATTAAAAATAGAAAATAAAAAATATGTAGAGACTGAATGTTGATCAAATTACTCAAGTGTTAATTTATCTCACGATTGACCACCGCGCGCGCTACACTGACTGTAGCCGTGCACGCGTTTCCTTGCGCGAGATCACACGCCGCGGTTAAGGCCTATATATTTTAAGCGAAATGGCGCAAACTTCACATTTAACATGACAAATGATGAACATTGACAATTATTAGCTTTATTTGAAAAAGTCTGATTCAAATAGACGTTTAAAACACGTCAAAATAATATATTTTTGCTCACCACGAGACAACGCCGTATGGAGTTCTGCACCTCACGGCGAAAAGAGGGCGGGATGAGGAAATGACGTAGTATATATACTCGGGTGGCCACCAATCATATTAGGGAGGTTTCTTGCTCTCTGCATTTCTCCTGTCCTGTCTAACCGAGACATCAACATACCACCCCCTATTGGAGGAGGATATCACATGTGAGCGGACCCCATGTTCGTTTCCCCGTGAAAGAGAGGATACATAAATGGATCCAAAGCGGCATATCCTATGGGTTTATGAGGGACATTATAGAGATATTATTATTTTCTTAGAGATCCTAGCTGTAAATATAAGCTGACAAGAGTCTCACATAACTCAAAGAGCTGATGAAGTCTGGTGTCTGAGTTATAGTTACTGCTCCCCTTTTGATTTGTGTCACTGCAGTGATTCAGTCCCTCCACGTGTCCTTAAAGCTGACCCCATTTATTCTGTCTAGCTGGATGTCTGGGGACACTGATGGCTATCAGACTGTCAGTTTTTGTGCCATCAGTAGCACCCAGCAGAGCACAGCATAACAGTGATGCAAGACCTCTTTGTGCCACCTTAACAGTATACTAGACCATTGTTCTGTACTGTCTATTAATAAAGCAAAAAGACCAAAAACAGCATCAATGATTTTAAATGCATCTTCAGTACTCTGTGTTAAAGCTGACAATATAGTGTAGGTTACAAAACTAGATGCATAAATCAAACTTTTACCACCATTTATAAAACGGGGTAGATTTATTCACATATTAACATAGGCACGACATTTGCATGTGCAAAAATTCTCACACAAAGACAAAATATCAACAATAATGCTGAAAAGACAATACTGATTGTGTGAAGGAAAATTAATATCTCCACAGTACAGCACAAAGCACAATGGCTTACATAGCAACATGTTACAACACACATACACATACACACACACACACACACACACGATTCAGTTTGGGGAATGGAGCCAACTTTACTGAATGTAAAGTGCTTTCACAAACTATGCACGTAGTGTGATCGAAACTTATAAACCCTCTTATCTGATATAAAACTAGTGTATCATTTGGCTCCATGAGTCTTCAAACTTCATATAATGCATTCTGCAGTAGATAAGCTTGCTATGTAAGGGAGAAGCCAATCAAGACAATTCAAAACAATTAGTTAACTTAATTGAATTCAGCCAACTAAAAGAAATTATGATTAAGTACATCAAATTCCTGAATTTAAATGGTCAAACTTGAACCCTCAAAGTACATAAAATGGCAAGTGATAAAGTACCACCATCACCAAGACAGAACGTTGGAGAGAATGAGAAACCCAGACGCTTATGGGGTCAATTTCATGAAAATGTGTCCAGGTGATGTTTACCCCCAAAAGTTTAAGGAAAAAATGATGATAATAATAGTTAAAAAGAAAGAAATTATATTTATCTTAAAGAAATTGAAATCTATTTAGATACATATAGATTTTTGCATTGTTACATTATTTACATGATAATTAAGCCTATTTCCCCTAAATTCTGATTATTGTAATGCATCCCTGCATTTTAACTTTTTCTCAATTTTTCCCAAAGGTTTTAGAGTAAAAGTACTGTAATATGATGATTTAAAATTTGGAGGATAAAAAAAAACTTCTATTAAAGGCAGTACAACAAAGACTACCATAGTGTACAAAATAAGTATATACAGTAAATATAATAGATATTAATTTTTTTTTTTTTTAAATCACATAAGTGATAATTTGGGAAGGAAATGTGCCTAATTGCAATGAAAATAATGTCACAGTACCAAAAAATCCTAATAGTTCTAACAAGCTTCATTTTCTTTAAACTTTTTATTGGTTCTCCCTTTGTTAAGGGTGAACAACCACAGACATGTTCGTGGCAGATTTCCTAAAATTCACCCTTTGGATCATGTAGAATTAACATTAAAAAGTTGTGTTCACACCGAGCACCACTGATGATACTATGGCATCTTACAGCAGTTATTACACAATACCTCAATACAACAAAACGTAAATTAAAATCGCCCGACAACACATTTGCAAACACAATAAATTAAGTATGATAATTTCTCACTGCCTTTCCACTTCAAACATCATTTTCTCAGGAACTATACTTGTTTCCATCTTAAATATTAAGTATTTCTCCAGGTCTAAATCTTAGTCTCATTCAATCCAAATCCTGGCTTTCTCTGTGCCCAGCAGTGAGTGTACAAGAAAATAAAGAACCCAGTGTACTGAAATGCACTGATAAATCCATCCAGTCATATAACACAGCAGATCAGTAGAACAGCACAAATCATCGCATATAGACGTGCAATTATTAGTCGGAACGGAGTACGTTGATGACACAGTCAGTTCAGTTTCTCAGCTCTAGAGTAATTCGGTCTGATTGTCGGAGCACTGAAACATTAGGTCAACATGTCTCGGACACCCGCTTGCTTCATCCTCGACTAAAAGTGGACTAGGCTTAATGGTCTCAGACACAGAGTTGTGCATTTCCAAAAGACCTGCAATGGTGGGCACTTTTTAATGACACGGTCATGTGGTATATTGAGTTCATTGGTTAGTGAGGAGGATTCTCTCATGAGTGATTTCATGTGAGCTGACGGGACATGATTTAGCAGTCTGTCTCTCATTGGTATTCTTCAGTGCGCAGGCATCAACAAGGCAGACAAGCTGACAATGTGGCAATTTAGGAATGTCACTGTCAGAGGTGTCATGGGGTAAAGACACACTACACTTAAAACACAAACACATACACACAAGCCTTCTATTACCGGTACCTCAGCCAACACTAGCTGCTTTCAATTTGATCAACTCTTCGAGGATGACAGAACGCCATCTTTTGCCAGTGTTTGAAAAGTCTACAAAAAAAGTGCGTCAGGTGTCTTTAGGACTTCAGGCCCATGTGTGCCATCAGCTGCTCGTACACAGTCCAGGCCATGGCAGCCATCAGGGTTCTCCTCAGAGAACGAGGAACCGCCCCCCGAAAGAACCCGCTCAAGCCATGCTTCTAAAACAACAGAGAAAAGAATGAAAGGGAGGTTACTTTAACAAACCTGTGACTTGTAAAAACACAAAACAACATTCAGAACACATTCTGTAATGCGACAAAGTCAAGAAAAATGGGACTTAATTGTATCAATGAAGATTTGACTGGATAATGAAAAGTGGAAACTGGATAGGATGTGTTCTGATTTCATACTATATTTCAGTTGCATTTTTCTATTTTAGAATATCATGATTCTTGCACCAGGAACATTTCAAAAGATCTTTTTTATGTACACCACGGCTGCATTCGTTTGATAAATGTGAAATACAATTTAAAATAACCATTTCCTATTTAAATATATTTTTAAAATGTAATTTATTCCTATGATGTAAAGATGAATTTTCAGCGTCACATGATCCTTCAGAAATCATTATAATGTGCTGATTTGCTGCTCAAGAAACAATTCTGATTATTATCAATGTTGAAAACGGTGCTGCTTAATATTTTTGTGGAAACCGTGCTACATTTGTTTTCAGGATTCTTTGATGAGTAGAAAAGAACAGCTTTTATTTTTTCAAATATAATTTTTTGTAGCAATATAAAGTCTTTACTGACACTTCTGATTTAATGCATCCTTGCTGAATAAAAGTATTAATTTCTTTAAAAAAAAATCTTACAGACCCCCAACTTTTGAATGGTGTATTTTAGGGAACTGATTTCATGCTGTGTTTAAAATAACATTTTGTATCTGACTTTTCTTTATATTTGAAGAGATTTTCAAAGGTCAATAAATATGTTTGGTCGCATGTAGGGCTGGTCGGTATGACGATGTATCGTTACAATGTTAGAGATTTTGCTATATCGTGGGGTGTAAATATAGCACTATTGACACTTCAGATTGATGAAATGCATACTGTAAATGAGAATACAAAGAGCGGTGTATAAATAAATGTATATTTAATTCATACAAGGAAGACTATGCAAAATTTTGTTTTTACATTTTTGATTATTAAATGTCTATACTAATTCTAACTACATGTTAAATAAACCTATTGTCCCTGAAAAACTTAATTTGTTTTATTCATATTTTTGTTATATTGCATTTGTCTTATTGTTTGTAATTTGCTTAATTTTTCTTATTTTAAATAACAGAAATGAGATAAGATAACACATAATAACTATATCATGATATCGTTATAATAAATAATAATAACATTTCTTGTATCCTGAAATAAGAATTTGGTCATATCGCCCACCCCTAGTAACACAATGCTTACAGCATAAACGTGGCGTACAGCATCACTGGTCTTGCGATACAATGCGGGGCTGACTTGCATGTGGGTTTTGATCACATCCGCTGGCTGAGTGGCTAGAGAGGCCAAAATACCAGCCACCACACCACAGCCAAAATTAACCAGCGGGACAAAGGATGAAGAGCTGATCTCTGAGTGAAAGAGAGAGCAGACATTATTAAACAATCCCACATCCTCAGATAACAACATCATTTTCACTTTCACACATTTTCATTTGATCAGAGGCTTACCCTGTGGTAAAGCCTTTTTGGCCTGGCTATAGAACATGACATAGATGCCAGAGAACGGGGCATCTCTGAGCAGAGTCGCCGTGAGCCCGGAGTAAAGAGCCCTGGGACCTTCGTTCTGACACACACTTTTAAGAGCTCCGGCTACGCTCACGTAATTGTACCGCCCACTCTAAAATAAAACATGCAATGGTGAATAAACACACAGATACACCTGAAAACATGCATTTTCAATGTATATGCAGTGTGTCAGTAATGGTCCTCACCTCAAAGCGAGTCTTAATGACTGTGATGGGCAGCATGGCCACCCCTGCCACACAACGAGCCCCTCCCCCGAGCAACACCGCCTCCCCAGCGCTCGGAGACCCATCCTCGAAGTAATGCTGCTTCAGCGAGTAAAATGTGCTGAAGTAGATCCCTACACCAGGGATACAGCGCATGAACGACTGCAGGACACATAAAGAGAGAAACAGTGAGTCTTCATTGATTAGAAAAAAAATATATTCATTGATATATAAAAACAAAACCGGTGCCAAGAAAGTGTACTTCTAATCCATACATGTAATAATCAGGGTTCCTACACATTTTTCATTTCAAACTTCCATAATTTTCCAGACTCTGTAGATTTTTCAGAACATATTTAACATAAATGGTTCATACAGCATTATTTTTGGTATATAATACAGTCATCTGTAATATATTTTATTTTCTCTCGAAGTGATAACATGTTCTTACACGATGAGAAGAACCTAAAACACTTTTTAACCTGCATATATTCACCTCTGACAAATTGGTTTGATATACTGTAACCATGTTTTGATGTTGAATGATCACCAAACAGTAAAGTAGTCTGATTTAGATGATTGTTTGAGTGGCACACGCACATTCAATTAGTAAAGTTCAAAAGAGACTCAGAGACAAACAGTTTTGCATAATGAAAACGTGCGCATTGAATTCATTTAGTCGGGTTCGACAAGCACTAAACGATTGCCATGAAAACACTCGGTCTACTCTGACAAATGAAGAACAGGACATGTCTGAGATCAGAGCACTGGTGCTGTTGTGAGGTCAAACAGTGAGAGCAATGGATCAAAGGAAATGGAGAAATCAGCCAACACAGTAGACTTACCGGTGAAACCCCCTTCCACAGGCCAAACAGCTTCTCTGTGCGGATCACGTTTAAAAACACTGTAATCATCCCCACTTTAGGAGCACTGAGACAAAGACAGAAATAAAAATGATCAAAACAGACACGGGCAGAGAGACAAAGATGGGTGAAAACAGACAGAAGGAGCCAAAAATCTTAAACAATTTGACATGGGGACCATGTTATTCTCTGCAAAGCTGAGAGAGGCAGACAGTTTAATAATAGAGCACATGACACTCCCACACAGCATACACAGAGAGGCCACAGTTATATAAACACAGACACAATGACACTCAACATGCATCTTACCAAAAAACACAGGCTAAAACCTCACTGTTGGTTGCTAGGGTGTTATGTGGTTGGTAAAGTGCTCTGACTAGTTTTTAGTGCGTTGCTATGGAGTTGCTAGGGTACTGCTATATGGTTGGTAATGTTTTTGGTGCGCTGCTATGTATCCCAAACCCTTTTGTTCAACTTTATGCATGCCTTAGCAAACATTACTAATTAATTATTAATTATTAGTACGGGACAAAACTTGGCTATAACCGTGCTTCCCTTGCAAAGTCTAAAGTCATTATCTATGTAATAATCTATGACATGCTAATTACCCCTAGTCAGAATGACAACAGAAAGGGAATGCTCCGATCGATCTGGCACAGATCGGTATTGGCTGATAATCACATTCTATGACACAATCGGTAGTTCCTAAATGTGGCCAATCTCACGAACCGAACCGAACAGACAGGCTTTTCTGCAACATTGTGCTTTGCTACATTAGTAAACCATCGTAAATCGTCTTTATTTAGAACAGGGTGTCTCGATTCAAACGAGCCTACACACACAACATACCATGATGCGTAGATCTTGTAGATCTTTTGTAGAGTTGTAAGCCACTACTTTAAAGTATGCCCCTTAGATGTGAAATGCCTTCAGGGTGTAAGGAGTCAACAGAGAGCTTACATATACAGCTTGAATGATCGGGATCGGCCGATCATGATGACAAGAAATCTGTATTCTGTATCGGCAGCAAAAATCGGAAGATCCCTAATGATTATGCATTTTAACTGTGCAGGACATGTTTATTATCTGCCAATCAAGTCATGAAACCCAGCACTGACACCTAATACCAGACAAAGATTAAGACACAAGGACAGCAGCATAACCGCAGGCTTATAGACATGATCAGCGCGGGTCACAGCAGGCCTGTCGGTTAGTGGCGTCTCACCCCGGGTGCATGTTGTTCTGCAGGGTCTGCAGTCTGGTCTTCACCAGATCCAACGGCTGGAACAGCAGAGTGGAGCAGGTGCCACTGAGAGAGCCGCACATGAAGGCCTTCAGGGCAGGATGAGCCTGAGAGAACAAACCAAGAAAGACAGAATTTGAGAAAACAAGGACTGAAGGAGGAGACAAAGGTTAAAGCTAGATAAGAGTATGAATGGATGGATATAAAATGTGGGGTGACAGCAGAGGAGACGACAAATAATTGTGAGACGAATAGAAAGATCATGATGATGAAACAACAGTTTAAGAGAATATAATTCAGGAAGCACTTTAAAGGGGCCATATTCAACACAAACACCATTTTATTTTCCTTTTAGTCCACTTGTAATGTTTGTTAGTCAGTATTTATTGCACCAAATTAAAAATGAAATATGTCTAACTACACAATTTAAAATGTTGTTCTTTAATGAGCACCAAGTTCCTGAATACCAAGCAAGCATTCATATGTAAATAGGGCCCTGTGATTTCCGCTATGTGGAAAACACGTGAAGAATCTTGGAATATAGGCATAAAAAAGGAATTTAAGGTATGCCAATTGGCAATTTTTGGATTAATTACTCAAAAGTATCATGGCAAAAACAACACAAATACTCAAAGATCTTCACAACAAAAGAACAAAGTAAAGGTTTGGTTTAACTTGAAATTATGACAGAATGTATTGAAATTATAAATATACTGTTGTTTATAATAAACTTATGCAGCACTTAATTTGACAAAAGGAAAAAGGAATTTTAATATTTTCATTTCACCATTACATTTAAAAATATTCCTTAAACTGTCAATTCAATTGATTACACGTTTTGTTTTTGATTATTAAAATGTAATTAATACATTAAAATTAAATAAGAAAAAAACAACAAAAAAACATGGAATTTGCAAGGGGAAAACATTATTGGATTTCATATGGGCGGTTATGCTAATTTGCTCATGGCTGTGATGTCATCGTAACCATGACGATTCCTGATAACGAACAACATATTTTTGTAGCTTGGTTTTCATGTACTGTGTGGACAAGGGATGGAGCTTTGCACTGTTAAAGTTTTATTTCAAAAGAACTAGAAAACCCTGTTTTTCATGTTATGCCCCCTTTAACAAGCTTGGGTACAAAAACTGCAATTTTAACAACACAAAAGTCACCATCTACTGCAGGAACACTAAAAATACCACAGTGACCAACACCGACACCCCAGATAAAAGGATATTCACATATTCTCACACGCTGAATATCCATTCTACATTTGGTGCCCTGCATGTACGCCAAACCTTACAATACAGTGTCATTTGCATGTACATGTACCCAAATGAAAACTCTTTAAAAGTGTGCATGACCACGCAATACACAGAAAATTCACTTCAAAACAGATTGACCACAGAGAATCACATCCAACACAGATGCACAATCACACACTGACACTGTCAGCATCATCACACACATACTGATATGCCCATGAAGACTCGAGCTCTGCCGACAGGCTATTCGGAGTGCTGAGATTCATTTTAGAATTAGATTAGATTATGTTTATTTGTCCTCTCGGAAAATTGTTCTGCCTCTACAGCACGTCTGATACATTCATACAACGACAATTTTACATGACACAATACAGAGTACACAGAATTTCCCACACCCCAACCACCCCCCTCTCTCATCCCCGCCACTCCACTACACGTACACAGCATCAGGACAGAAGACTCAAAAAAAACCTGTTTAAAGTGCTATTAGTGCTATTAAAGTGCTAAATAGTGCTATTTAAAGTGCTGTCCTGCAGGTAACATCTTGTTCATCAGAGTGATGCTAGTTGGAATGAATGACTTACTGGCTCGATTTGTCTGGAAATAAGGTAGCCTAAACCTTCTCCGTGATGGCAACATCTCATATGCCCGGTGTAAGGGATGTGACGTATCTTTAGTGATAGCTAAACCTTTCTTCAACACCCTTCTTTCACCGGTGGTAGCCATACTGTCTAGTTTGTGCCCCGCGACCTTGCTGGCCAGGTTGACTATCTTGAAGCACGAAAACAGCAAGACACGAGTGATGGGAAGATGCATTGCACACACAGCTGCGCAGAGATACACAAAAACACACAAACACTGACTAGAGAAACATACAGTGAGCCACTGACTAATCTGCCCTACCTTTCCCAGGCTGCTGGCAGATTTGGGCTGAGGGTCCTTTTTCTCTTGCATCTCTCTTTATCACACTCTTACTGCTGCCGTTAACAGCACATGACAAAGTAAGCCTCCATCTCTCTCCTCTCACACACAATACCCAGAAATCGCTCTTTAACCCCCTCCCACCAGCAGCAGGAGATTCAGCGGCTTAATCCACAAGCCTCCATGCCTGCCGTTCTCAGCGCTGCCGTTCCACACTCACCCCTTTACACCTAAACGCACATCCGTGGTTTCACTCTCCTCGTTTGTGTTCCTCTCCACCGGATCAAGTGCTTTCAGCACAGCGTGAGTCATACAGTTGCCAAAGGCATATGTATATGTGCGTTAGCGTGTGCTTGTGTGGATGTGACAGAAAATGTGGGTCATTTATTGGATGCTGTATCCTAATATTCCAACATAGGTTCAGAAGAATTGCACATAAACAAAAATGACCTTCAGATCTTTATATGACAGTTGCACATAAAATGGAATATGTGCTGTGAAAACAGTATCATCATAACATACACACACTATCTCGGGCCTCCAATTACAAATAAGAAAAAAAACTGATTGCTTTTATCTCCTAGTGAAACACTGATATGTCAGTCAGACCAATTATTTGGACATTTTGAATTCATCAGCATCAGCCGGTGACTGTTGATCAGCTAACACAAGTGGAAGTTTCTTCTGCTAGCATCAGTTTCAATACCACTGCCTTCTTGATGTAATATGCAAATGTTATGTTTTCAAATATTTCAGTAAATTCGAAGTTAATATTGTGTCAAATAAATGTTACATTTTTTCAGAAATGTAGGGGTTTCTTTTTGTATCATTGCAAATTGCATAGAAAAACACCTGAATTCTTGACTGCCCTAAAAAAAAACATTTTGATCAACCACTATTCTCTCCTGAATAGAATGTCACACATTAAAGCAGACGTTAATGTAATGCAATCAATCTGTAATGTAGATTATATTAGAAAAGCATGACATTGAAGTATTAAAAAGCCTGCTGAATCAACTGTCAGGTTACAGACATTCAACATTTCACATTTAACTTCAGCAGAAGAAATTTACATTAAAGCACACAGCAATACCACAAACTCACCAGGGCAAGCTCCATTGCGGATGAAGAGGAGGATGATGAAGCTTGCACAGAGGAAGAGCTCAACTCCCTCCTTTTTATCTCTTCTATGGCCGTCGTGATGTCTTCTTACACGTCAAAGATTCCAGACTGCATGAAGGAGAAATTAATTTAATACCCAACCTGAATAATTAAATAACCACTGCTAATTTCACACAAAACCAAGCACATAATCAAGACAGAATCAAAAATGCATTAAAGCATCTAAATAAAATAAGAGGCTGTCAGACAGATTTAAGTTCTATTTCATATTTACCTGTCTGTTAAGGACCGAAGAGAAACAGTGAATGAGGACTGATCTTCATCATGATTCTCGCTCTTTCTGTCACTCTACACGGCTGTCAACAGTGCAAAGGAGATGGCCGACGAATTTAGACAGAGAAACCACCATTTCATTACTGAAATCTTACATAAACATGTAGAAATGTGCCACACACCACAGAAATAAATGTCAAATTAAAACAAACTACGAAGTCAGATCGGAGTGAAAGCTAATGCTAATTCTTCTGACCAAACATAACGCGTTTCAAACAGTCGGCAACGGCTAACAACGCATCCTATGCTGTTTTCTTCGTAAAATACAAAACTGACAATAAACACAACGAAAATATTGGAAATATGCTGGTGCAACACACGTCAGCTGATTTCTATCAGTTAGCCGGTAATGCTAACAGTCCCCGTTCACTCCATCATAATCAACAAACTTTAACTTACATTCAATTGTTCTGTTTTTCGATGTCTAAAACTGCGTAATTTCCTTTCAAGCAATCAAAACATGTTACAGGGCTGCTAAACTGCAGGTGAAACAGCAGGAGTGCGTAGGTTACACAAGTTTTCAATATCACATTGCTCCGCGGAGACCGTGATCTGTGAGTTTGAAGCTACGCTGTACGCCTCGCGCAAGAAAGTTCTGCGTTGTTTGCGTAACTCCTGCGTAATGTTTGCGTAGTCTCCACTCCAGAACAACGGGCAAGAACCGGTTTCAGCTTGATTATTCCAGCGGTGCCGGTGTCACACGTGCTCCGGCTAGTAGAGACACTTGATGCGTGATCCGCGATGCCTCCCACTGGAACATTGAGGTATGTGTGTTCCCATCTCTGACAAAGTGACTCATTGAAAGGGATAGTTCAACCAAATAAAAACATTGTCATCATTTTAGTTGTTCCAACAAGCCTGTATGAATTTCTTCTGCAGCTGAACACAAAAGATATTTTGAAGAATATGGGTAATTAAACCGTTGATGGGCCCCACTGACTTCCAAAGTTTTTTCTCCCCATAGGCCGGGAAGTTAGTGGTTTAATTACCCATATTCTTCCAAATATTGTGTTCAGCAGAAGAAATGAATTCATGCAGGTTTGGAACAACTTGATGGGGTATAGATGACAGAATTTTCACTTTTGGGTGAACTATCCCTTTAACAATGCTTTGATCTCTTATTTGTAATATATTTAACAAAACTGAATTATGCATCATTTTGGAATTAAAGTTGGTTAAAATAGAGATTTTAAATAGTTTGCCCTCTAATATTACCAGACTGAACTTTATTACTGTATTTGTATTTATTGGTTGACTTTTAGTCTAAATATAAATAAAATCCAGTTTAATTTGAAGTACGTTCATTTACAAATTTAATAAAGTGTTGTACCTTCATTACAGAAACAGCCTCTATAGAAGCAGCCTGGTATTTTTCATCTCATGGATGAACCCTTCTAAGGTTTTAACCTACACAGCACAGAACTTTAACCATTAGTTCACTCCATTCATTAAGAAAACTCTTTGAACCAGTTACCAAAATCGATGTCTTTAATGAAATACTGTGTTTGGAGAAATATTAGGGGTAAAATTGAGAGTACAAAAGACAAAGCTTTAATCAGAAGCAATGAAATCATGTGACATTAAAAGTGAGAGGAAAACAATTGCAATTGTTCCCAATACAGTCAGTCCACTACAATTTCACTGGAAGTTTGACAATTTATAGGTCTATCACATCTGTTACGAACATACAGAAAAGGGGGGAGTATAATGCTAGCAAAAATACTGTATGAAAGAGACATTAGCAAATGCATTGAAAAGTACCAAAAATAAAAAGTTGACAAATACAAATTAATTTTTACACACCCACCATCTAAAGTGTAAACTTCAAAACATCATGCAATAAAAAAAAAAAAAAATAATAACTTGCAAATAGTTCGTAATAATGTGGTATACAAGTCCTGAGTGAGAACTCACAAAACAAACAATATTTATGTAATTAAGGCAAACCGTCTCATTTTAAACCATGAGGTGGAAAAGTGACAGTGAGATAATTAGAAAAAGGCTTAATTGGTGCTGAAGTGCTCTTGAAAAAACGGCTGGAAGATGAATCTCTTTTGTTGATGGGTAATACCTTGCAAATCCTGGATTACGTAAGATTGCAAAAGGAAATTTCTTCCCATTATCAATTATAAAAATGTTCAAACATTTAATTTACTTTGTAAAATACTCCCATGTAAAATATAAATAGCCAATATTTATTCAATGCATTTCAAGGCAGTTATCAACAGGGTAAAACAGATTAGGCCAAATTTAACAGTTGCAGTCTCATTGGAAAGAGCAAGATGGCAAGATGAAAGATTTCTTCATCCGGACTGAACTTTATTTTATTTATTTTTTATCTTTTTATCTTGGATGCAAAGTTAGTCTAATGGCTCGGATAATTGTTTGGCCCAAAAACTGCTTTAAACATTGAAATTGCAGTGAAACCCCCATTAAGGATACAGTTGCCTTAAGGATACAGTTGCCTTCAGAGAATACAAAAATCATTTAGACAGACAAGACAAGCTTGGAGGAAAATAGCTAATCTGTTATGGGCTCAGCTTTCATACACTGAACTTTACTCAGGAGTTGGCTCTGATCCCTCGCTTTTCAAATCGTTCTCCTCATCACTTTCCACACCAGCGCGTCCAACTGCACGGCGTACATTGACAGTGAAATCTCCACGCCTGGAAAAGACACAAGTTTTATATAAACACTAAATATGTGGCATATAACAGTACAAATGTTTGACTGATTTGTCAGTCAGTTTAAAAGTGATGTTTGCACAGAAATGATACCATGACTATCACGAAGCAGCGGATTACACACCTGAGTTTGTTCTTTAGGGTGCTGACCTCTCGGTTCATAGCATTAGCGGACTCCGTGGCATCTTCCAGCTCTCTCTGCATCTTCCTGCGGGAGGCATTAGCTCGAGCCGCTTCCTCCTCGGTCTCCTCTAGCTGCCTCTTCAACTGCTTCATACGAGTGTTCAGCTTCTCAGACTGACAGAGGAAGATTTCATTATGAACTGCACTCAAAATACAAGGTTACCATACCACTAGGGGTGGTGAAAAAAATCGATTATTGATTAATCGCGAGTATGTTTATGGACGAGTATGAATCGATTATTACATTTTCAAAAATCGATTTTTTATTATAAAAAAAAAAATTTGCATTATTTTATTTTGTAAAAAATGTTATACCGGAAGTTGAACGTCACGAACGCGCCCAGTTCCAGTAGCAAGCGCGTGTAACGGCAGCCAGAGCGAGTGAGAGCAGGTGTGCCGGAGACACACTGGCTGCGTGGCGGCGTCTCAGCTGCGTGGTGTGTCCGTTTTTATTTCGGCTCCCATGTTAACAGGTTAGAGCTTGCACACTGCCTGCATGAGCCGCGCGGAAAACGCGTGCATGCTAGAAATAGAACCGACGCCTATTTTTCACGCGACACGCAAGCGTGTTGGAAGCGTTTCCAGGCAAAATAGAATAGGAAACGATGTTTATATGTCATTTTGTACACGAATACATATTAATAAATTACATTTTGATGTTTGAAAGTCTAGGTTTTGATATAAATTCAGATATCAATGTAATTTAAACAAATAATAATAATAATAATAATTATCGATTTTCAAATATTGCCATTATTTTTGCCTATATACAAATTTATGTCATTTTTATTTTTTAAACAATCGAGTCCTGGTGTTCACTACAGAGGTCATAGCATAACATATGAATAAAATATCTCTTTTTTTTTTTCATTTGTTTCTTATGCTCTTAACAATGTGATTACATGAAGAAGAAGAAAAACTTTTGAAAAAAACGTTCTGGGCCTCAGGAGGATATAAAGATAATAGGCTACAATAACAACATAGTGTGTCTTCTGAGTGACGGTCCACCATCAGGCTAAATATAGGCTCTTTAAAGCTACACAAAATTTGTAAATGTTATTGAATTAAACAGACAGCCCACTTCCCTATTTTTCGGATTTTGGAAGATGTGTGATAACAGTTGAAATTGTTGTCGTAAAGGCAAGAGGCAAGAGTTGAAATTGTTGTAGTAAGGATTAACACACCGCTAACCCAAATGTAGACTGTCCCTCTGTCACCTAGCAGCAGCGGCGCCGCGTCAGACACGTTTCTGGTGTGCAAAGACGCAGCTGACACGCAACAGAAACGCCACGCTCACGCCACGCAGCCAGTGTGTCTCCGGCCTAACGAGCGTTGCTTGCTACAACACCTTGTCTTTCTAGAAGAAAATTGTCCAATTTCTACAGTATGTTGGTTCTGATCTACTTCCTAAAGGAAATAAGCCTTTCATTTATTTGTTATTGTTTAGTTCAACTTGATGAGTCACAACACAATGTGATGTATTCATTTCTGTGTTCTACAGAACATAAGCTACATACAAATAATTCTGAAGTTATAACTACACGACACAGAAAGTGCTTTGAGTTGTTGTTACTCAATAAAAGAGTTAAGTAATTCAGCAGCTGACTTTTTTTAATACTGCAAACACTTTGTAGTGTATTTTCATTTACTGTTGTGAAATGGAAAATCAATAATCGCTAATCGAGAATCGTTAATAATCGAAAATCGACTGTAATCGAATCGGGACTTCAATAATCGTAATCGAATCGGGAAATCAGACAGATTAACCACCCCTACATACCACGATACTTAAATTTCAGATAAAGATGGCAACAAAACAGGCATGGAGTTTAAATTTATTGTAGTTTTTTTAAAAGTGCATTATCAAATCATCTGAGAAATTTCCTCTTAAGATCAAATGAAGATCATCATTTGGCTTTGAACTAGTTTGAACAAGCTTATTGCATTTTAAATGCAGTCCAAAACTCCCCACCTCATTTTTGAATTGATCAGCATTGCGTCTCTCGTCCTCAACCTGCAGTAACACCTCTTTGAGTTTCTTCTCCACACGTCGCACCTGTTTAGTGGACTGCTGCCTCTCCCTGAAGAGTTAAGCACAGAGACACATAGAAGTATCACTGGTTATTAACAAAGACCTTTTACTGGGGAAATTGAGGTGCTCTATAGTCTATACTATAGCGGATATCCATGAAGATATCAGTGTAGTATGCCAGTCCCTGAGGAGTAGAAAAGTTGCTTCTAATAACCTACACAAACCATCTCTACTATTACTCACTTCATCTCAATATCCAACTGCTCTTCGAGCTGTGGGATCTTGGCCTCCAGTGCAGCAATGGTGGACTTGTACTTGCTCTTTACAGCTACTTCCAACTCCTGAAGCTTCTGCTTTAGGTCCTTGTTCTGGCGGTCCAGCTGAGAGCGCAAACCCTCCAGACGCTGGCTATTACCACGCTCTGCAGACAACTCCACTGTAACCTGTTCAGCCTGTGGTTCAAGCGAAATAAAGCCATTAGCAGCAGAGCATCATGATGAACATATGATAGCTGAAATTGGGAACAATTTGGATGAGAGTATCTCATTAAGCTCCTAGTACTCTACCTGCAGTGTTGCTTTCTTCAGTCGATCATTGACCAGCTCAACGTTGAGATGTTCTTCCTCAAGTTCCTCCTCAAGCTGAGCAATACGTGCCTCAATTCTCCTCCTCTCGTCGCTGCTCAGTGAGCTGACAGAGACAAAGTGTTGAGTGGTTTAAAATGTGCTTTTTTTCTCTCTCTCTAACACATTTTCCATTTCAAAATTCCAGACTCTGAATATGGTCTGAAAATCTACAGAGAGGTTAGGAAATTTGAGTCAAAGTGCCTCTATTATGCTTTTTCGAATATTCCCTTTCATGCTTTGTGTAATGCAGCTATCTGCAAAGTTCTGAAGACGAAAGAGCACGCGATAAATAAAGTCATTTTCTCTCAAAAGAAAGAATCGACACAGAACAGCCTAAACGAGTCATCAGGAATTTGAATCCCACTTCCGTGACGGCTACACGTCACTGGGTAACACAGTGGCCTAATGCCCACCTATGTTCTACGTCCACCCGCGAACAACTTGACCCACCCTCAAACACTTTTGCTGGTTCTTGTTGTGTATGTCGAGAAGATGCGGTTTTCTACCCTGCATAAGCAAATTCTTTGTAAACACTTCCAAAGGATGAGAATGTGAAGAGTCTGGTTAACTATACAACAGCAGTACAACCTTTCGACGAATGCTTCAAATCTACATGAAGTCTAAATGAGGTTTACAAAACGCTCCATGTCCATTAAAGATGGGAGAGTACCCACTTTATCAGTAAGTATGATTTATTGATGTGATTATATATATATATATATATATATATATTTATTCTTCTAACACATCACTGAGAAACGACAAGGAGAGATTTAAAGAGACTGAATCATCGGACCCGCGTTTGAGAATTATTGAAAAATGTGGTGATGTGACCTCCAAAAGCAAAATTAGTATTTTCAGGCCCCCCAAAAAAAATGGTGAAGCAAGTTATTTATATATTTTGCAGTAGTGTCAGTAGACAGGTTATAGACAGTATGTATAAAACTAGAAATTGCAAGCGCATGCAAAACAATTCTCGAAAAAAATCTCATGTGCATGCAATGCAAAACTATATATATATATATATATATATATATATATATATATACACACACACACACACACACTACTGTGCAAAAGTCGTAGGCACGTTAGTATTTTCACCACAAAAAGTGGTTAAGCCAGTTATTTATATATTTTGCTTTAGTCAGTAGGAAATATTAGCTTACATTTCATAACATTGATTTTGCCATTAATTGTAAAGATTTTTGTATGCACAAGGAGTGACACACAGTAGTGTATACAGACTTTTGCATGCCCACAAGAAACTTTTTACATCATGAAGTTTTATGCAACAACGTTTCGAGAGGAGCACGTTCAGGTACTCAACCAATCAGCACAAGAGGAAGCCGGTATGACCTCTGTCCCATGACAGTTTCACAGCATCCCTTCACCACCCCATCACCTCACTCTTGACTGGTTTTTTATCCCAGTCAAAGGGGGGATAAATTACTATATCTGATTTCATGTACGTGTGAACTCGTGAACGCACAGGAATTTTTTACATGCTTGCGCATTACAATTTCTACTATAACCTATGTCCTTTGTGTCCCTGTCTTACTATGAAGAAAAAGAGAGCATTGACGCACATGAATTAATAGAAATCTAGGCCTATTTGCTCAAGATTTGGCTTTCCTTAGGGTAGTACCTCTAATAACAAGGCCTAATGTCCAATTGAATGCATCCTCTGTGGCGGTGGAGAATGACACGAAATGGGCTGATGGCACAATATTAGATGCTAAGTTTAATGGTTTCTCGTGCGCACACGAAAGTCTATATACGTTTTATTTTTGCAAAGGTCCTTTTAGAGGCTCTGTAATACGGTGTCAAGAATATCATAAGAAACCCAAAACGCTTATAACCTGTCACAATCATTCAGTTGTGTTTGACAATCACTAAAGAATCGATAAACAGCTGCCATGAAAACACTTGTGTGATGCATTTATTTTCATAAAATTTTTTAATTCATTAGATTTTCTATTATATAAAAAAAAAAAAAATGGGGGCAATGGTCTGGAAAATGCAAATAGTTTTCCATACTCTGCTTTCTTTTTTTCATACTTTTCCAGACCTGGAAATTACTCATACAGGTTTCCTACGCAGTTTGGAAAAGTATGGAATTTGATTTAAGACACCCAATATACTTTGATTTCCTAGGACTAATTGTTTGGTGCAATGATACCCTACCAGACAACACATCACAATAGCAGCAGGTAACTCACTTCTTGGAATTCTGGCTATTGATCTCATCCTGTAGCTCATCTCGTTCTTGCTGGATTTGTCTCTTTGCTCTGTCAGCAGCAGCCAGATCCTACAGAGATTAAAAGGAAACATTTTCCACATGCCTAATTCTTCCATAAAGAATCCTTTCAGTCTAAACTAACACTAAAATTTACCCTAGTAAATTATTAGGGTAGTTATTTCTAGTTGCAGTACAATTCTGATCCAACCTGAAAAAGTACAAGACAAACCTCATGTAGCTGAATAACCTCAGCCTCCATGCTCTTGATCTTGCGCTCGTTTTCTTTGGCCTGGTTAAGAACTTCGTCTCTGGATAGACGCAGTTCCTCAAACTCTCTCAGCTGTTCTTTCATCTGGGCCTGCAAAACAAAAGAGGGAATGACAGATGTCAGAGGTTCATGCATTAGATGTTAATTTAAGTACTCCAATTGCAATTTTGTTCATCAGGCAAAAGTACAGACCTGACCTCTGGTTCTAAAACCAAAAATCCCCACCAATTTAATACAAAAGTAATGCCCATGCAGAATGTGTAGTTTCTTACCTGTAGTTTCTTGAGCTGTTTGAGGGCCTCATCTCGAGCCTTGTTGGAGGAGTCGATCTGAGCAGCCAACTCCGCCAGATCCAGCTCAAGCTTCTTGCGCACAGATACGGCCTGAACCCGCTGTTTCCGCTCATCCTCAAGCTCCATCTCCATCTCACGCACCTAACATATTCAATTACAATATCAGTAGTTTTTGTGCATTTCCCCAGTTACCCAACATTTATCAGCATCTCAGATTAACATTGTTCTGAATTGGGCAGGTGAGCACATACCTGTTTGACTAGCTGCTTCCGTTTCTCCTCACCCTGCTCATCTCTGCCCTGCAGGTCTCGGTCAAACTGAGCCTTCATGGCCTGCATGTTGACCTCCAGGCGCAGTTTGGCATCTTCCGTGAGCTGCAGTTCATCCTCCAATTCCTCTAGCTGAGTCTTCATTTCCTCCAACTGCTGTTCCATTCCTCGCTTGGCCCGCTCAAGCTCATGCACCTTAAAAGAAAAGAACAAAAGTTTGAGCACAACTAAGATAAGTGGTGAGAATTAATCATGACCTCCTTTTTAACAAATTGTTGCCAAAGCGCACAGGATGAGAGTGCTATATTTGCCCACCAGTCAAAGATAATGAATCTTAACTCATGCCAAAAAAAAAAAAAAAAATCTGGTTTACCACAATTAGCTAGACCTTCAGGGACTATACATTTTATTTTCAATGCAAGGCGGAAGACTTTAAATATGTAATTATTCCTTGAGGATTTTGTAAGTGTTAAATTAAAGATTTCATAATTGATTTAATTCAGATGCTTTGGTTATATCTTGGCTTGTAGACATTAGCTCTGTTCCAAAACAGTTAGCATGCTCTAAAGCCATTTTTTACTCTTGAATAAATTAACAGTTGAACCATTCGAAAAGTCGTTTTTGGTATTGAAATAAATGTACTTATTTCATTCTCAACCTTCACTGCTGTAAATTGACCAAAAGGAGCTATAGTTGTCTTACTTTATATCTTCAATGTCTAGGCTAGCAGGTTTGGGTTTTGGAACAGAGCTGTGGTTTTAAAGTCCCCCTGTGGTAAAAATCAAGCTTTTAATGTTGTTTAGATGTCTGTGGTGTTTTCAATATGCTTTAAGACAAACCATGTGCAAATTTATAAGGTCAACACCATTGAGTATTTTCTCCTTAAAACTGCAGTGAACCAAAGACAGTCTCAAAAACAAGGTTTGAAATCACTGGCATTTGGTAACAAGGTAGTTTGTGACGTTAATCACGACAATCTCTGCGCTGGTGTGTGGAGGCGGGGCTAATTTGCATATTCATAGAACCGCATATAGTAAATGAGGCAAGGGTGTAGAGTTCCATTCAAGCTATTTTAAGGCATTTAAAAGTTTACCTTAATTGTTTTTCATATGTCATTTTGGTGATCAAGGATGAGTTAAGGGATAAAATTGACTACGTGGGACTTTAACACACATTCTAGACATGTAATGCTTGTGTTTCACATACACTCTTGCCAGCGTCATCCTTGGATGACATCAGGTCCTCCATCTCAGTTCTGAGCTGCTTGTTGACCCGCTCCAGTTCATCCTTCAAATCAGTAATGGCCTCTAGCTCTCGGGTCAGAGTCAGAGTTCTGGTCTCTTTCTCACGGGCCTCTGCCTCGGCACGATCCCTTTCCTCAGCGTACTTCAGAGAGACACTCTTCTCCTCAGCCAGCATCTGCACAAATTGAGGTATTTTATCACAAAGGACTGCTAGACTGTGAAGGTGATAAAAAAATTCTCATTACACTATTTTAAGATCTTTGTTACACCAATTATACATTTAAGTACTGATTGATTTCCATTACACGAGAGTAGATGTTAAAACTTCATGCTGATTTGTACTCGGCTTTCGCCAAGATAAGCAACACTAAGACGTAGCTTTACAGTAAACTATGCTTCTCCATCCATTTATGCTTCTTTCCATATGGTGGTGTAATATTAAGTAACTACATGTACTGACACTAGGGTAATAATTAGGTTTGGGGTTAGTTACATGAAAGAATGCATAATTTATAGTTATTACTATAGTTACTGCATGTAACACTGACAATAAAATAATTGGTAACTCCTTATTTTAGTAACTTGCAGAAAACACCAGTAGCAGCAGCATTTGAAATACCCTATGACCAGTGTTGGGGAAAGTTACTTTGAAAAGTAATGCGTTACAATATTACGTTACTCCCTTAAAAAGTAACTTATTGTGTTACTTAGTTACTTTTTTAGAAAAGTAATGTGTTACGTTACTTTTGCGTTACTTTTTTTCCACCTGGGCTGGGCTTGTTTTTTTATACCAAAAAAGATATATTTTTGGGCAAATGTAAAGACCCTTTCACACCAAAAGTGAAATAATAAGCCTCAGACTGAAGGAAATGCAGATTTACTCCTGTACAGTAGAGTACAGTAGAGGGCGCCGCTCAAACAAACCTTTCAGCTGCTGCTGTTCTGGGTAACAGAAGAAGAGGATGCAGGAGAGACAAATTTAACACTTACTTTACCAATAAAAACATATAAAAAAATCTATAGTCATTTTTGCTTATGGTTTAATTGAAAAATCGGAGGTCAGAAGCAAGTACTTTGGTCAATAAAGATTAAATGCATACAAATGTATGTTTTATTTAACATATTTAGGTATTGGAGGTTTGCATAGTGTTCTGATTCTGCATTTCACTGATTTTATTCATTTTGAGGAATATTGAATCTTTTTTGTGCAAGTGAGATGAGTAAATCCACGCTTACATTTAATCTAGAACTATAATAACCATCATGTTTACACACAACGCCTCTGCACTTCGATTTGTCTCAACATTAGGACAGAAGAGCAGTCAGTCAATAAAGGGGAAAACAAAGTAACTTGCGTTACTTATTAGAAAAAGTAACTCAGATATTTTGTTGTAAATTTTAAAAGTAATGCGTTACTTTACTAGTTACTTGAAAAAGTAATCTGATTACGTAACTCAAGTTACTTGTAATGAGTTACCCCCAACACTGCCTATGACACATGTTCATAAATACATTTCTGCTCTATTTACAGGCAAATACTGTTCTCTACCTGGTCAAACTTTTTCTGCTTGCGTTCCAGCTCCTGAACGGTCTGACGCAGATGATCTTGGTCTACCAGGACATCATCTAGCTCCCGCTGTAGACGGGTCTTGGTCTTCTCCAGTTTATCGTAGCCAGCATTCCTCTCCTCCAACTGCTGCATGATGCCTTCCGCCTCTCTCTGCAATTTCTTTTTCCCATCCTCTAAGCTCTCCAGGCTTTGGGCCTCTTGCTCAACCTTTTTCTTCATCTCTGCCAACTGAAACAAAACAGAACAACATTTCTAATCTAAAAATCTAAGTGGAATAAGAGAGTTCACTCAAACACAAGCTGGTCCTAGGGCAGCATTATCCACCAGAACGTGTCCACCGACTCAAGGGCACACACACCTGAGCTTGAGCAGTGTATAGCTGCTTCTCAACATTTTTCTTGCTCTCCTCTTCCTCCTCCAGCATCTCTTTCAGGTTGTTCTGTTCATCCTCCATTTGCCGAAGACGAGTAGAGAGCGCAAGCTTCTGCCTGGTCTCCTCCTCCAGCAACGCCTAACCACATAGGAAAACAATATAAACCAATTCAGAATGAAGTCTTTACCTGCAACACCTGTGATTAGCTCAACATTTATTTTAGGGCAAGCAGGAACTTCTTGTGACCAACAGTACAATCACTCAGCAAGCTCCAGTGATAAGTGCCTGTGAACTATGCACTATAGTGTGTGACCAAGTTGTACCTGCACGTCTTTAAGTTGAGATTCAACAGTAGAACAATCTTTGGCAGCTTTGATGGATTTGCTCTCCACCTTGCTTAGGGTTCCATGAAGAGCATCAAGCTCCACCTAAACATTAAAAAAATATATTATAATTATATTGTATGTATTAAAGTAGGCACAAGTTTGCTCTAAATGGATCTCAGAGGGGAGATTTTTATACTTTGATGTATAATTGCAAATTTTAGTCTCAATACCTGCATTTTAGCCACTTTATCAGCCAGTTCCTGTTTCTGTCTCTCACTCTCTACGTGTTTGACTTGCAGCTCCTGGAGCTGTGATTCAGCTTTCTTCCTGCGGTGCTCAGACTCATTTTTACCTTGGGACAATGACTGAAGTTCAATCTGAAGCTCACTGCGTTCACTCTCCAGAGCCTGTTTTGCTTTTTCCACAGATGCTTTATTCTGAGGGACACAACAGTGAGTGTTAGTTAACACGTTTCTAGAAAGTTTGCTTTTGTGGGTGGAAAGAAAATGTACACTTTTCAGAGAGACACTACCTCACCAAAAAGCAACTGGTCAAATAAGAAAAAAAAGAAACTCATTCTAATGAGTGCCATGTACTATGCACATTTTAAAAGTTGTAATAAATTGCAGCACCCTTTTAAATGAGACACTCAAAGGATCAGCACATTTTTTTTACAATTTCCATTCCCTAATTATTAAAGCAGCACAGTTAAAAGCCATCAATGCTTTAGGAGAGGCACATGGTCTCACCCTCTTGGACTGTTCAAGCTGTTCATTGAGTTCCTCAAAGGCCTGGTTGTGTTTCTGTCGCACTTCACCTAGCATCTGTTCATGTGAACGAGCCTCATCTTCCAGAGTCTTCTTCAGCAGAGTCACTTCAGTCTCTCTCTTTGTCCTTAAGACAGGAAGAAACACATTTTTAAAATGAATTTGACCCCAAAAGATAAGTTTTGAATTTATATCTTTGGAATGAACAAACAAGTTGTTGCAAAATATCTCAAATAAGTCAAGCCCAGTCAGTTTTCCTCATGGCTGACCTGAGTTCTTGCTGAGCAGCAGTAGAGTCCAGCGTGTCCTCAAGTTCTGTCTTCAGAGCTTCTAGCTCCTCTCCCAGGTCCCTGCGGTGTTTCTCGGCTTTAGCACGGGCAGCTTTCTCCAGCTCCAGATCTTCCTGCAACTCTGAGAGCTGGGCCTCAAGCTCACGAATGTTTTTCTGGGCAGCATTCTTCAGAGCAGCTTCCTCTTCAATCCTAAAAAAAAAAAAAAAAAAAAAAAAAAAATTACAAAATGTAGCTAGTGCACAAAAACCCAATTAAGGTAAAAAGTGTTAAGACATAGCTGTAATTTGAGATTTTCATCTAACTGACCCTCACTTCCACTTCTAACAAACGTTTCGCTCACCTCGCGAGTGCAGCCTGGAGCTCTTCCTCTTTCTTGGCCAGTTGGGCACGGAGCTCTGCAATCTGAGCCTGAAGCTCTGCGATCTGATCATGCAGCTCTGTAGAGTCGCCCTCCAACTTTCGCCTGTTCTTCTCCAACTCTTGCCTCGTCTTCTCTTCCTTCCTTAAACGATCTGAGAGTGTAAAGGAGAGATGTGAACAATTAAGGTGTGTGGAGATGTAGCAAAGAACACTGCAACAGTTCTTTGTTGCTGCAAATACAGCAATAAAGAGATATACTCAAGTTATCATCTGCATTCTTGGGCTGGCTTTAGACGTGCGTTTTCAAAATCCTGCTTCATAATTATTTGATGGTCGTGAATATATACTTACCCTCCAGGTCAGTAATCATTGCCTCATGTTTGTTCTTGAGTTTCTGCAAACTCTTGGATTTCTCTTCCTCTTCAGCCAGGTTAGTGGTGAACTCAGAGACTCTCTCCTCCAGCTGCTTTTTCTCCTGTAAGATCAGATACCCGCATACAACCATCACTATCAGGACAAGCAGCACTAAATAGTTTTTGCAGCAGATTATGCAGTCATGCAGGCAGGTAGAAGAGGTGAACCGTTTCCACGTGTAGTAAAGACACTTTTGGGAGAAAGATATTGTTGTAGTAGTTAAATACTACTTCAACATTTGTGTAGCATTAATTGAATTGTTCGGGGTAAGAATCATATGGTGGAATCAAAACCATATTTTGATTCCCCCAATTTCTGAAATGTGGAATTGAAACTACTTCATTGTTGATTTATGTAAAAGCAGAACACATTCTTCTCAGACCTTGGAAAGTTTGGCGTTTTGGTCATCAAGAACCATAATGTCCTCCTCAATCTTCTTCATCTTGGAATCCATGGTGACTTTCTCCAATTGCAGCTTCTGTCTGGCAGCCTCCTCTTCATCCAGTTGCTGCTCCAGATCCTGAGAAAGGATTTTAGGATTTCAATTACAATTGAACACGAATCAACTAACTTGGTATGAAGCTCTAAACAGACATTTAGAGTTTGCATTTGGAAAGTCAATTTCATTCATCAAACTTCCCCTCACCGAAATGTTTTGTTGCATCTTTTTCTTCTCCATTTGAAACTGTGTGACTTTCTCCTCCTCTTCTTCCAAGCGGGACTCCAGGTCATGCATGACATACTCCTGCTCATTCAGGCGTGCAGCAAGACGCGCCCTCATCTCTTCAGCCTCTTGACACAGTTCGGTCTCCGCCTGCAACTGCTCCTGAAGAGCCATCTTCTCTGCATTTATCTGTTACAGGGAATAACAATAAGTTTATGGACACCAAGAGAGAATAAAGAGTCATCTTGTAGTGGAGAAAAAAAAAAAAAAAAAAACACCACCATACATGCATACCTGTTGTTGTTTGGTCTCAAACTCCTTCAGCAGGTCTTCAGCCTCCTGCTGTCTCTCCTTCATCTTGACCAACTCTTCCTCCTTAGCGACCATTTCCTCTTCTTGTCTGGTCACCTGCAGTAAAGGCTTTACCTGAAGAAAGAAGAGTTGACATTGCTTTTAGATCTCTGGTTGATCTCCAATAAACACAGATTTTTGAACCTATAAGTATACCTTGGTAAAGAGTCGCCACCAATGCCAATTTCTGAGTTTCAAATAGGCTGCACAGTTCCTCTGGATCACCCTCATGGCATTCAGTTGCTGCTGCCTCTTAGCAAAGGCTCTATGTAAAACAAACGTTAAGTTGTCAGTCTAATAGTCCTGTTTAAATTAACACCTCACAGAAATCTTCAATCATCTATCATCCAAGACAACCTTTCAGAGTCATTTAGAAGTTATTAGCCAAGGTTGCAAACACAGACCATAATTTTTAGTGCTTCAAATCTCTCTTAGCTGTGGTGTCCTGGAAAACAGACCTGTATAAATGTATATATTTAAATACATCTACCTCCTAGCAACATAGCCTCTACACCAGGCCTGGAAGGTGATAATGACATCAGTGATCTTCATATCTCTCTCCTCTTCCAGGTGGGCAAGAACGCCAGCCCTGAAGAACACTTTACTTTGACCTATACGGTACAAGTTCGAATCCAGCTCCAGGGCCTTGATCTGGGAGAGAAAATACATTACAATACATTTTAAACAAAGTATCAATTATCTTAATTATCTTAATAATGGTGTGCATCAACTCTTACCATGAGGACACAGGCCTGCTTCCCATCCATAAAGCCCTTGGGGATGGCATTTGGCGTGAGAATCTCATATCTGAAATTACATTTGGGAAATATAATTTAGAGACTAGGAATAAGAGGATTCAAGAAGTCTATAGATACTAAAGTCAAGCCCTGCATTCTGGGTATGCATAATTCCCTGCTACGTAGTATAAAATCAGTACTACGTCAGACAAGCAGTTCAAATACTTAACATTGATAATCCAAATACCTTTGTCTGAACTCTTGGAAGACAATGCGGTTGGGGAACCCTTGTCTACAGATCCGAATTCCTTCTAGAACTCCATTACATCTTAGTTGTTCTAGAACCAGGTTGTGTGCCAATTTACCAGCCTATAAGAGAAGAGCAGTGAGTTAATTGTTAGAGGCCACAAAAGATGCATGAACCACCTGGCTATACAAATGTTTTAAGGATGGGATGTAAAGTTTCGCTCTTCACACCTTCTTCTCATGGTTGGGGATTATGCATCGGACAAAGTTAGGGTTGGTATTTCTGAGGGTGGTCATCAGATTTGTTAGCTGCTCTTTGTACAGTTGTCCTACTGTACGGAACATTCCCTTACGAGTCTTGACGGCTCCATGCAATGATTCAGCCATTCCAGCCACTTTGTCTAATCCCACAATTCGGTCCACTGATGAAAAAAAAAAAACACATTATGCAAGAAAACCAACACAAGAGTGTTTAAATGGACTGTTTAAGATGACTTTTCATGTTTAATTGTGGAGTCTTTTAGTGTCCAGGATGAACAGTAGCAGACAACCTGCATATTACACACTGGCAGAATCAGACTCACTTTTCTCTATGACGACCTAAAAGCCTGACCAACAAAAGCTCAATGCAGCAGGTGGATTGTCGTCAACTTTTTAGACATTAGTGACATCTGAAATACTCTAACCATTAGATTGATTTAAGGAATGTTAATTTGTCATCTGCAGAGTCTCATACCATCTTTCCAGAGCTCAGAGACAAACTTGTCCAATGACTGGTTAAGCAGAGTTGCCACATTGTCATTCAGAGGGTCCATGTTTTTCATTAGCCATTCAGTAGCCTTGTAATCAACCTGTGGAAGACCAGACAGACACATAAATGATACACTTTTAAAAGAAAAATTTCTCCTCTTCAACCCTATTCAAATGGGATTAGATTTAAATGGTGAGGGAAATGTAATGTTCTAGACAAGCATCTAAATGTCTAAATAAATTCACTTTTCATACTGTGCTTTATAACATTGTGATGCCTGAACTCAGTTGCCCACCTCAGCAATTTCCACAGACATTGCTTACCAAATATGACTTCATGATAAATATAACAGATGTCCACAGTATCACTTTACAAACATATGAAGCTAATCCCAGTATTTAAGACACATAAGAGCTCTCACTTTGCCAGCATAGTGAATGATACAGAAGTCAGCATCATCTTTGAGCTTCTTGGGCTTTTGAAATTTTGGGTTGTTGCCCAATTCCTGGACTACTTTCTCCACAAAGGATTTGTCTGTGGCTTTGGGAAACCAGCACTCCTCATCCAACAGAGCCAGGATTCCTGGAGGACCAGTCTGACAGAGAGAGAAAGATTTTTTTTTTTTTTTTTAATCAAGGTATGCAGGAGGGTTTGAATCGAGAAAAATAAATTCTACAAAGTTTGAAGAGTAAAGAATAAACCTACAGGCTTCTCAATGAGTTCAATGCAGGGCTGCAGGTCAAGGCCAAAGTCGATGAAGCTCCATTCAATGCCTTCACGCTGGTACTCCTCCTGCTCCAGGACGAACATGGTGTGGTTGAACAGCTGCTGAAGCTTCTCGTTGGTGTAGTTGATGCAGAGCTGCTCAAATGAGTTCAGCTACAAAGAGAAAAAGAGTTAAATCAAAATGACCAATTATAATCAGGACACATTTTGTTTTTCACAACACTTTCACACCTCGAAGATCTCAAATCCAGCGATGTCCAGGATTCCGATAAAAGAAGCACCCTGACGCTTTGTCTTGTCTAAAGCTTTGTTGATGCGCAAAACCAACCAGCGAAACAGCCTCTCATACGTGGCTTTGGCCAGGGCTTCCACCGCAAACTCAGCCTGTTCCTGACTCTGTGCCTTCTGAACGCAATCACGGCCCACTTTGATGCGTGGTGTGAGAATGGCACGTGTGAAATCGGTCACATTCATGCCCAAAAGATGGGACACCTTTTGGGCAGCTAATAAATAAAAAATAAGTGGACAAGACATTTAGTGCTCAGAATTTTTTTTTGGATTCCAGTCTAGAATAAGCAATATGAACAACAACAGAATGTGCATTCTGCCATTTTTGTTACTGGTAATGAAATGAACTTGGGACTAATTTGTAGTGCAAGTTAATGAAGGAAGAGACCTGTGTCATCTGGCATGGAGGCTTGGTCAGAGTTGCGTTCCTTCTTAAAACTCATGTTTCCAAGCTGCAGCACAGCAGACACCACCTTCAAAAGACCTGGGACACAATAACAGAACATGCATTTCATTTCCTCAGACATGAGGCAATAAATACATCAAGTTAAGCCCAAAACTTCAAGTTCAGTCAAAATACTACAATAGCAATACAGAATAGTTCTCAGCATGAGAAACTGGAGAACTTTCACCCAATTCATGAAAGACATCACAACTTTAGGTGATTAAACTCACTGTGGAGTGATTACAGATGAAAGTGCCTTTGAGTCTATACCTGTCTGCTCCTCCTCAGGAATGCCCATAATCCTGAAGGCATCTATGGTTTCAGCAAACAGTTCTTTATCCTGTTGTCCAGTGATAGTTACATTTCCATTCAACAGGAAACGGTACTTATTGTAGTCCTCTAGGCACAGCTCAGCTGTAGAGTAGAGAACAAACTTTAGAAACTTTCCTTAGAGATTAGTCCTATAGCATACTACACGGTCACATGTGTATTCAGCATTAAACTCACATTAAGAAAAGATTCATACATGTTCATTTTAACAAAACGTTGGCCCTAACACTGCATGTATGATTTTAAAGAATTCATAGCTTAAATTTTTTCATTGCATGAAATGGTCCTCACCACGCAATTTGTCTCCTGCTCCTGATAGCAAGTAATAGAAAATATGGAAGGCCCGCTCATCTTTGGCCTGCCTGATCGCACGAGACTTCTCTAAAAGATCTGAAAAACACTTGTTAGGGGATTAACATAAGTCAAATACATTCTGCATGAGCCCTTTAAAATGGCAACAAGCTAACAATACACATTTTAGTTTCCTAAGTGGTGGTTCATTCAATAAAAAGGATACAGGTCTCAATATTGGCTCCAACGATGTAACCATTGACATCAAAGTTGATCCTGATAAACTTTCCCTGTGAATAAAAAGCTCATTGATTCATGTCGAAATTAAGTGGGACCCTTTAAAAAGGAGTCAATTGGATTGGTCTGTGCACACTTACAAATCGAGAAGAATTATCGTTCTTCACTGTCTTGGCATTGCCAAAGGCCTCAAGAATTGGGTTGGCCTGAAGCAACTGTTTTTCCAACTCACCCTGGCAAACAAATAGTTGATAAAAGGGGATGAGCACATTTAAAGTTACAACTCACAATTTCAGGAACTAATAGACCATTAATGAAACAAAGACAACATCTTGAAACAAAGGTACCAAACCATCAAGACACAGTAGACCAAGATCACAGATTTGCAAGTGAAAGCTTTGCCTGATAACTGATACCCATTTTTGCAGGCGAGTACATTCTTCCACTACATTTATAATGCTAAAAACCATACGTGCATTAAACTTTGTTCTACACCAGTGTTAGAATTTGCATTAGCTGAAGCAGTTAGATGACTTTGCAACATAACACCATATAATTTAGCCAGTAGAAAACCAGTCACATGACCAGGGTGTATACAGCCGGAAAAGTGAAGGATGGTATGGTTGGACTCACATGTGACAGGGTGACACTGCTCTGCAGGATGATAAAGAGAGAAAGTCTCAAAATATGGACACAAATGAAGGGGGACTCAAATTTAGAACATTTTCAACCGTATAGGGCAACATTCAACAGCTGGATGCTTGCAGTTTTTAAAAAAAGGGCAACCATGAACAAATAGGCAGGTATTCACAAAGTCACTAGAGATCCCATGGGAACAGGTCTAGGCCTGATACAGGAATGTGAAAACACAGAATTCTGACTTCCTTGTCCAAATGACAGAGAGAGAAGAGTATTAAACCCCTGTGGGAGGAAGACTTCAACAGAAAAAAAAAGGATAAAAAATAACCAGGAAGAGATAAAACTGACATCAACAAAACATTTACCACGAAGGGGGCTGGAGACAGAATTGCTGATATTAAAAATGGATGTGGTTATTTATCAGCAGCTCTGCCATGACAATCAGCACTAGTCTTATCTGGCGGTTATGCACACGAATCAACATTCACTTGTGATGACTGTTCCACGACTGAATGTAAATGTGTTCATGGCACCTCAGTGCACAATATATCTGTAGCTTCTATGCAGCGTAAAACCACCAATGGAGACAGACAAGAGAGTGGAGTGTAAAATGGGGAATGGGATTAGGCAATGATTTATTTTATTTTTTTATACCATGTCAGCAACATGGCTATATTCATGGCGAAAGGATTAGGGAATGAAGCAGGTCGGATTCAAACCTGAATACTGTGAATTAACAACTCTTGTATGTCGTGAACACATGCAACACTCGCTGTGCCACAACCCTGAGGATTAAAAGAAAGTCTTGTACTTACTTGATCTTTCTTTGTTTTGAAGGATGATGCTACATGAGCAAGGTACTGAATGACTTTTTTGGTGTTTTCAGTTTTTCCAGCACCAGATTCACCCCTGAGGAAAGAAGAAGTTTAGAAGGAGCTACAATGCTTGCCATTTTAATGTTTTATTTTGGTACAGGTATTTCACAAATGCCAAGTCAAGCTTACGTGCACAATATGGACTGATCCTCACGATCTAAAAAGATCAAGAAAAATGAATTAACAGTGCTCTATCACATGAACAGAAGTGCCACTTTGGCCTGAATACAAGAGTCACGCAGGGAATGTTCTTCTCACCCTGCATCATACTCCTGTAGGCCGTATCTGTGATGGCGTAGATATGAGGGGGCATCTCATGCCTCTTCTTGCCTTTGTACATCTCTACGATCTCCTCCGTGTAGATGGGCAGATGCTTATATGGGTTTATTACCACACAGAAGAGCCCAGAGTATGTCTGAAACAATGGTTTACACATGCCATTCGTCACAAAAAGCACATTTGTTTCAAGCCGATTGACTAATCTTCTTGACAGATACTCACTCTTTATAAACATTAACCAATCAGCAACTACAAATAGCTTGGCATTAGATGATTCCCATGGATTAATGATGCGAGTAATGATGAAACAATTGTGCATTTTCTATTTTAGTTTTCTGCACTGTCAAAGTTTTCACATTTTTAATTCGAAAAATCCCTTTTTACAAAGACTATTGGAGTACGTTTTACAAGAAAACACTATTTTAGTCTTTCAAAATTTCACATTTGATTCAATGTTACTTGCAGTTTCTTTGCTAGTAAATGTCACAAAGAATTACAATTTCTGAGTGAAAATTGTTTCAAAGTAAATTAAACCATTCTTTGATGTATCAGAACATGCTAAAAAAAAAAAATTAAATCCATAAACAGACTTACATAGATGAGCCCCGAGTAGTATCTCTCCCTCAGGTTGTGCAGAACAGAAGCTTCATTCAGGCAGGTGAGCTCCGCCATATCCTCCACCTTGCTGAACTTGGGTGGGTTCATCTTCTGGATGTCATCCTTGCTCACCTTGATCTTCTTGCCTGAGTCAGCCAGCTCCACAAGACACTCATCTCCAGTCTCCTCTTTGACGGAGCCGGCCTCAAAGCCGAGCTTCTCTGAGGGAACCCATACCAGCTTCTTAGAGGACCAGTCTGCCTGCGCCAAAGGGTCGTTGATAGTGTTGCGGTCGGCATAGAGGAACTTCTCTGCGTCTGACATTTTGACTACGTACGAGAAAGAAAGAGAAATTTATGGTTGAATTGAATGGTTTTAAAAAGTTCTGCAGGATATCACAGTAACACAGAGAATTAAAAACAGCCTGACGAGTAATGAAGAAAAAAATTAATTTCCTTAATTGTACACAAACATCTACGCGGTGACTCGTTCAAACATCTGACGTATGGGTCAATATTGTTTTATAAAATGACAACCAAGCCTGCTCAGGCCTCTGACTGCTGCTTCCCTTCCCCCATTTAACCTTAAAGGTACATTCTTTTAACAACCCCTAATTATAAGAATTCCATAAATTCCCACACTCATTTCAGAATACCATCGAAATGTGTTTTATAACTTTAGATCACCAAATACAAGTGCTTGGTAATGTTTGTGTTGGGCTAGAAACCAAGTCTGACTAACCTGGAAAGTGGTTAAACAAGTGGGTGTGTGCGCGCATGTTAAACATTTTCATGCAGAAATCATGATTCAGCAAACAGTTCACAATTTATGTTAAAATCTACAATCAATTTAAAAATCCCAGATTCCCAAAAATGTTAAGAATTTACAAACATTTTATATTATAAATGTCTAAGAAAAGGGTCTTGTGAATTCTGAAGAAATTGTTCATGCACAATTTTGTGTACAGAACTATGCATCAATGATACAATTATTAGTGACGTAGAGAGCCAGTTTCCATATTACCATAACTTTGAGCATTTATGGTGTCATGCTTACACTTAGCTAGTTTGTTAAAATTCCTTAACCTACTGTGTGCTGATGCAAACATACACAAGACACAAGCTCCTATTGCTTTGAAGTGGAGAGAACATCTGCGCTGAAGGAGTAATTCCTAAACAAGTTTGGACAGACAATTTCATTACCCGCCACACCCTGCGGAAGACTCCAGAACTCAGAAATTAAGAGTAACATCTTTATTTCTGTCAAAAAGAGCAAAAAAAAAGTCCATTTCCAGAGCTTAAATGGCTAAATCCTAATATACATAATATTAATATCATACCAATGTTACTCAAGATAAAATATAAGGTATCCCTAACCTCCATACAGATCTACTGGTGTGGAAGCAACCAGTTTGATACAGGAGATTTTTTTTCTAAAAAAAAAAAAAAAAAAAAAAAATACAAAATCATGCATCTTTTAACAGAATCTGAGATGCTAAAAGCGTGCAAACTCTTCCCCCACAACATTTTTTTATTTGAAATGTCCTTGCAAGTGTCCTTACAGTCTCATGAGTGTCAAATCAGTATCAGTTAAATTGCAATATTTAAAAACATATTTCTCCCCCACCTCTGTTGTATACAAGAGAGTTGGTTACAAAATACACAACATTCAGTTGAGAATTTGTAATAAGGTTAATGGATAAATATAATACAAATAAAATAAGTAATATATAATTCTCAGAAGAAAAGAAAAAAACGAAATATAAATAAGTGCCCTACAGTTAGGATTTCTTTCATGTGACTCAGGTGAGTGAGTATTCCAGTGTCCCACACGTACCCGTCCCTCAGGGGGAGGGAAAGAGAGGCTTCTGGGAGTCAAAGTTCTCTGCCTACTCAGACTATGAAAGTACTTACTGTAAGTGACCTAAACTTATTTGAATCTGCCAATTCAGCCAGAGTGGGAAAAAGACCAACAAGATGCCAAACGAAGTGTGGCAGTACCAATGGCAGCACTTAGAGAGGCATCTAGAAAGTGAAAATAGATGACAACAGCACAGCTTTAGCGTACTGTTGAGATGAGGGGATAAGGAGATTAGCAGGGTGTCATCTCTGTCTGCAAGTTCATTAGCAGCTCAAATACAGTCACTGTGATTAAATGCAGAAGACAGCACGTGCACCTGCACATGACATGCACCTTTGTTGGGTTGACCCACCATGGGTTGTCACCCGATTCCAAGAATAAAAAAGGAACAAACCATGATGAGTGCATAATATACATTTAAGGGACAAAAGAGTTAATCATAGTTGAGCAAAGAGGAACAAACGGCCATCCGTGACACAACAAAATAGTGAAATGGTTTCTGGAACGTGTTGATATTGAAAAGTTGCTTCACCACACTGACACACTTCCTCTAGAGCTTTAATGCAAGACCTTAGAAGGCAACATGTTAGAGCTTGCTGTCTGAATTTAATAAGTGTAACAGAAGCAGAACCGCAGAAAACAGCCTGAAACTAGTAAATTGCGCTTATTACAATGGAGAGATTCACTCAAATGTGGGCATATTTGGCCAACACAAGACTAAAATATCCATTATATTTGACCCAAAATCAAGATAAATACACATAATAGAAATTTCATGCCAATTTTGTGTTGGAAAATACAAGCATTTAATTAATTATGTATTTATTATTATTTTAGGACCATTTTTAAAAAGTCAGTATTTTATGTATAACTTTAAAAAGAAGAAGCTTTAAACCACATTTTTTTGGGGGAGTGAAATAAGCCTATATCAAGTCTATGAGGCAAACTAATAAATGGTATTGACTAGCAAAACTGTCTGTGTGTGTGTTCTGGTAAACCCTCCATAATGGGGACAAAATGTCCCCCAAAGATGTCAACATCTGAAATCCTTGTGGGGACATTTTTTTGGTCCTCATGAGCTTATAAATCATAATAAGTGATGTTTTTTGCAGAACGTTTTCTGTGATGGGTAGGTTTAGGGGTGTGGGTTAGGGTATGTCCCCATAAAACATGAAAACAATGCGTGTATGTAGTTTATTTGAAGGGGGTAATATATGGGTGTGTTTTCATAAGATTCACTCTAAAAGAGTGAGTTTACCAGTGAGCCGTCACAGTGGTCACCTGCAGTGCCATACCTTATTTTATCCCTCCATCACCACGCTCTCTCATCCCACTGATCTTGGCTTATGTTCAATCCTTGCTTATAGTTCAAATGCCAACAGCTCTGAGAAAGTCAACAACAGCAACACAGGAGACACATTGCTCACGAACAGAGCATTTTATGCAGTGCAAGGTGAAACCGCTCTAGTGCAAAAGACCTCACAATGAAATGAAGACACATTAAATGTAACTTTGTAACTGGCACTGTTGCATAACAGTTAGGCATCTTGTTCCGCGTCTGATCTGAATGTGTGTCCTCAGGGCTGAGCAAATCAGGTCGTCTACTGCAAGAAACTGGTCTCAAAGCAAACTGGGCGTGTTGCAAAGAGCAGACAGACAGATCACCTGAACTGAGATGTTACTGACAGCGGAGTTTCTCGTGCACTCTACATTATTTTGGGTAACGGTAAAGAAAACAACAACAATAATAAAAGTAACATGTCATAATATTCTGGGTTTGTAATATGTTTAATGGAGTCTACCTAAATTAAGACTATTAATAACTTTATTTTCTTTTACCTAAAATATTTGTATCACTTCATCGAGTAGAACGCGTGCATGGGCTGATTGTGCAGAACAGGTTCAGGTGCGCGCTCAGGTGAGAATGTGGCTGAATGTTAAAAGTTCACTCACCTCTTTTCCCTCAGGCGCCGTTTGTTGAGAAGACCCAATGCCAAATCTTCTAATTTTGTCCTTAGGAAGAATGACACAGCTGAGACAAATGTATCCGAAAATCGCTGGGGTTTGTGATACTTTCCTGCTTGTTCATCGGCGTCCTGCTCCCTAGTTTCCTCTCACTTCTCTCAGCAAACTCCCACTGACTCTTAAATCAGCTGTGTGGGCGTGGCTATAAAACGACGACAAACCCAATGTCCCGCCCATTTGATTTAGCGCTTCTTTAAGAAGTGCCACTCAAGACATGTGCTTTCATTGATTGGTCATTTATTTAGCGCGTCCATTATTATGCCAAACAGTGACGTTTGGTTAGGACGTTAGGTTTATTTATCCAGGAAATAAACATAAGTTTTAGAATTTTGAGTTGTTACTTATAAAATATACAAGAAATGTGTATGTAAGAAATATGTAGAAAGAAATGTAATATTAATAGGCTAATAATGAAAAGCCTATATGGGATTCATAATATATCATCCTGGAAATAAACAAAGGTTTAGGATTTTGAATTACAATATGCGTTTTTGAACATTTTCACATAAAAAAACCCTTGCAAATTTCCATTTATTTCTACTTAACGTTTTTCTAAATGTTATGCTTGAAATATATATGGTAATGAAAACAAATGCAAAATAGAAGTATTTTAACAAGTCTTCTCAAACTTTACTTCAGCCTATGTAAGTTATTCACAACACCCATTAAAAAAAAACAGCATAAAAATGTACTTTACACGCATAATTACTTAAATTACTTCTAATAATGCAAAAATCATACAGTTTTTCTCAATTGCTAAAACACTAAAACCCATTGGCTGAACACAGTTCTCAGTTGCCTGAACTCATTTAGCTAATTGTGCAGTCTGTTGTCAATACCTTAAACTATTTCACATGGCAAAACACAATTTGCAGATCTTACTTAGACTTTTCAGCAAAACGCTAAACACATTCTCATTCTCAAAACATATTCTGCACTGTAATGCACACGTCATCCATACTGGTAAACACAAGTGGCAATGATCAAATACAAATAGAGAACAAATGTCATTGATTGAACACAACCACTCAAAATTGATTTAACCTGTTTCAAATGATGCCCAAAGACAAGAAGAAGCACACTGATCACGTTTACTCCTTTGATTTTTGTCCCTTTTAGTATTGTATACTGTAGTACAGTGCATTGTAGGCTGTATACTGTACAATTAACAAATTATATGGCCCCGAACATCGTTACTGTTACAGTACCATTTGTTACAGTACTGAATGCTCAATAGATTTTACTGGTTGCACTTGCAGGTTCATATCAACAAAGAACAAGAATTACAGTATCAAACAATAGAACTGACAAAGGAGAAGTTTGTGAGATGCAGGGCACTGTACTGTAAAAATAGGGGTACAAGGAGGAAGAACAAATAAAATTGCAAAGAGCAAAGCAGAGTAGTAATTTCTGATCAATTTTGCGCTACTATGATGTTTTCATTCATCAAAAGACAATGACGGACAAATATGAAATTTGTTTTAAGATTAAAAATGTACTTCTCCCTGAAATTTTGATGGTACAGTAATGTGTCACGGGTAAGTCTACAAACAGAATAGCCGTCCGTAGATATCTTTCGAGAACTGTATGTTTTGAACAATGTGTTTCCTATTTTTTGGTGTATTGTTTACTGACTCCTTGATAGTGTATATCATTTTGATCACTTTGTCTATGATTTGAGAGCAGTGTTTGATTTTGAACACAAGTAAAACTGTTTTGAGGCGAAAGTTTCATTTTGCAAGAAGAGTCAGAGGTTTTGTAAATAGTGCTTGAAGATGAGGTTTTGTGTTTAATGTTTTCAGAAAAAGGAGCAAGGATTCAGACATTGTGTTTTAGCAATTGAGAAAAACTGTAATATCTTTTGCAGGTCAGATGGAGTTTATAGAATATTAGCCTCAATGCAGGAAAGCTGGAGTGCAGGAAGGCTGGTGGAGGGTGTCAGTGGTGAAGGAATGCAGAGATTTGTCTGTACCTGCAACCCTGCAGTGATTTCCTCTATTTAAAGAGCCGTACTGTGGAGGTGGAGAGAGAGAGAGAGAGAGAGAGAGAGAGAGAGAGAGAGAGAGAGAGAGAGAGAGAGAGAGAGAGAGAGAGAGAGAGAGAGAGAGAGAGAGAGAGAGAGAGAGAGAGAGAGAGAGAGAGAGAGAGAGACTAAAGTGAACCTATACTGCTTTTGGCATGAGTCACCCATTGGATTTCATAAAATATAAAACACTGGTCAGGTGACAACTAAACTGGCCTGTAAACTACTGACAGATTATCTTCATGGGCGTTTTATAGATATTGCATTTTTCTCTGTGAGTCAATCAGGGGTTGCCAGATATGTGCATTGATTACTGTAAATGTTGTTGCTGTTATTGTCAACTAAGTAAACAGTCCTCCTTTATAGAAAAATCAAAAAGTCAAAGGTCATTTAGGGTCACAGAGAAGCTCAGACAACAAATAGATTCGTCCAAGTAATCTTATGCTAAATTGAAAGAACGTTTTATTTGACGGAATTAGGAGGCCCTGAGCACACCACCGATGAGCATAATGAGTCTGCAGGCCTCAGGTGGGCTGATTCTTCCTTATATGGTATGAGAGCGACGCAAACACAGTGAAAGAAAGGGCTGTAGTTTAGGCAGCAGAGGTTTTGGATTACCCCACTGGCCCACCCCCTCCTCTACCTTCCTTCTTCCTCCTCTTCATCTGAAATACTCAGTGGCATGAAAGATAAAGGGATCAATTTTCAAGAGAAGGCTTGTTGCTACATGACCTCACACCAGATAAGCAGACAGCAAATGAGATTTCTAAACTCTGCTCGAGTTTGAACATTGCTCGGCTGTGTTCTGCTTCATATAAAATGTGGCATCTGTAATCTTATCCATGGTATGAACACAACAAGCGTACGTAGGGTGTGTTACTTGAGATGATAATAAAGTGAAAAAGGTGGCTGGTCTAACCATGCTATTGTCTGCAGCTATTCTCAGCCTGATGCAGTTTACTGTCGTTTTTACTCCCAGAGGGAGAAAGAGAGCATACTGAGCAGATGACACGACACGACACAGCAGTGTCCTGCAATGTGACATGCTACTGTATACAAATACACTCACCGGCCACTTTATTAGGTACACCAGTTCAACTGCTTGTTAATGCAAATATCCAATAAGCCAATCATATGGCAGCAACTAAATGCATTTAGGCATGTACAGTAGCATCACAGTGTCTGGTTGTGTTTCCCTTGTTTATCACTAGAGGACCTCGTTCTCACGGTGTCCTTCACATTTGACTTCATTTCCCAGCATTCTGTCTGTCAGTCACTGTCACTCATCAGTTCATTGCACTCAGCTGTTCCCCGTAATCATTGTTCCAAGCTGTTCTTTGATAGTCTTGTTAGATATGTGTATATATTCCCTGTCTGTGTTAGTATGTGTACGGAGTCGTTGTTTTATGTCACCACACTTCCAGTCTCTGCCCGGTCTTGTTTTTGTCTTGTGCCTTGGATTGCCTTATTGGATTTTGACCCCTGCCTGGATAACTACAAGTTTGGTTTGCCCTTTAAATAAAACTACTGCTATTGGATTTCTGTCCCCTGTGTGTGTGTTTCGTGACAAGTAGACTTTAAACATGGCATGGTTGTTGGTGCCAGGCGGGCTGGTCTAATGGGATTTTCACACACGGCCATCTCTAGGGTTTACAGAATCCGAAAAAGAGAAACTATCCAGAGAGTGGCAGTTCTGTGGGATAAAATGCCTTGTTGAAGCCAAAGGTCAGAGGGGAATGGACAGACTGTTTGAGCTGATAGAAAGACATAATAAATCAATGGTTCAGGCTGCTGGTGGTGTAATGGTGTGTAAATATTTTCATGGCACACTTAGGACCCCTAAGTAATTGAGCATTGTTTAAATGCCACAGCCTTGTTGCTGACCATGTCCATCCCTTTCTGACCACAGTGTGCCCATCTTCTGATGGCTACTTCCAGCAGGATAACACACCATGTCACAAAGCTCAAATTATCTCAAACTGGTTTCTTGAACATGATAGTGAGTTCACTATACTCGTATAGTGAACTCACTGTCATGTTCAAGAAACCAGTTTGAGATCTGGTGACTGGGGAGGCCGTCACCAGATCTCAATCCAATAGAGCACCTTTGGGATGTGCTGGAACTGGAGATTCGCATCAGCCCACAAATCTGCAGCAACTCCGAGATACTGGTGTCAACATGGACCAAAATCTCTGAGGAATGTTTCCTGCACCTTGTTGAATATATGTCATGAAGAATTAAAGCAGTTCTGAAGGCAAAAGGGGGTCCAACCTGATACCAAGGTGTATATAATAAAGTAGTGTGTGTGTGTGTATAGCGTATATACACATATAAATTAATACTTTTAATTAGCAAGGAAGTGACAGTAAAAATGTATGTCTAATTTCTATTTCAAATCATTTTGAATCATTTACTCACCCTCATGTTGTTCCAAACCTGTATGAACCTCTTCCTTCTGCTGAACACAAAAGAAGATATTTTAAAAAATACTATGGAAGTCAATGGGGCCCATCAACTGTTTGGTTACCTACATTTGTGCTCTGCTCTCCTCTAGGTTCTTCATGGATGAAGTAATCAGTGTAGCTTGCAGCGCCCTCTGATGGTGAAGATAATCACTACACGACTGCTCTAATCAGCAGGACAAATGCTTAGGGAATTTTTTTAAGCCTTTCTTTCAAAGTCATTGTTCTATACGTGGTTAAATGACCCGGTGAGTGATACTTTAATTATTGAGTGATAATCAATAATGTGTTCATCAGTAGGTGATTGTGCTAAGTTGGGAAAAACCCCCAAAACAAAACACTTCTTAAAAGTGAAATGATTTCTGTAAATCCAGTGATCAAATGCTGTGTGGCTCTCTCAGTTTTCAGTGATCGGCTCATAGTCGTTGGTCTGTGTGTTCATTTAACCTGGAAGACCTTCTGAACATAGCTATATAAGCATGGATTTTTTAGAAAGGAGCATTTAGAAAGATGAAAAGGGAGAATCAATAAATTCTGAATAATTTATTGCCATTTTGTGAATAATATGTAATCAATCAAAAAGCAACTGTACGAGTATTTTAAAATGAAATATGAATAATGAAATTTTTGGAATCTGATTACGTAATCCGGATTACATGTATCAGTTACTACCAGGACTGCCAGGGGGCGATCTGTAATTAAAAGTTCAAGCCATTTACTTTTATTAAATGTTTAATTAACAGTCAGTTGATCTGTGTCGCAAGAATCATCTGTCTTCATATTGAACAATTTTCTTTCTTTCTTTCCTTTCCTTTTTTTTTTTTTTTTTTTACAAAATGAAAGGGTAGCTATACCTGAACAGTCACATTCAAGCACCATGTTACATACAGAGGTTTATCTCACTTTCTTCAGTGGACATACTATGTAGAAAAATGCTGGCTTACAAAATAGCCAATCACATCAATAGACAAAATGTCTGATAACAAGGTTAACAGAATATTTCCCTCTGTTCAGTTTCACAATGTCAGTTTTCACTCTCTCTCTCTCTCTCTCTCTCTCTCTCTCTCTCTCTCTCTCTCTCTCTCTCTCTCTCTCTCTCTCTCTCTCTCTCTCTCTCTCTCTCTCTCTCTCTCTCTCTCTCTCTCTCTCTCTCTCTCTCTCTCAAAAAAAATTCACTAATGTGTGTTTCACATAAGTCTCTTGAACATGTAATCAGTCAATTCTAAACTAAAGACTTTCAATGATAACAAAGCAATTTGTATGTAAAATGCCAAAAATGATGTGAAAAATACAGTTATTTACAAAAATGATATAATCTTATGGTGAGACAAGGACAGTCGGCAGATGTAGCCCATTAACCTTAGGATGAAACCTGAGGTAATTCCTTAGTCTCTGTGTTTTTGGTTCTGGATTATATCACTAAATTGACTTAACACGTCAATAATTCTAACAGGAAATTTCCAAGGGAAAAACATTCACATTTTATACAATATAAGATATGAAACATTTGCTACATCCTGTACATATTTGTCTCCTTTACATCCCATCTTACTGGTGCTGAAATATACTTAAATATGTTATAGTTTTGAAAACGGTCTCTGTACAACTATAGTTTGACTCATATGACCCTATTTCTGAATAATATTTTTTTTTTTCCATGGATACTTAACCGAAATACTTAGCCATAAAAATAGTGCTAATAATCTATTTATTATCTTTCAAATACATTTACTAGTAGATTGCTACATCCTACCAATCGATATTTCCAAAAATAGAATTGTTTGTTTCCACTTTTCACTCTTAAATATCAGTAAAAGCTGAATGTTTAAAACTTAAATTTCACAGTTGATATTCAGTTTCTGTATGGCTGTCAGATGAGAAAATCTTCTTAGAATGTACATAAAATGTTCATATGTCAACATCTGCCATTAATAATGGTAATAATCTGCAAAATTACAGGTGGACGGTTATTATCAGTTCAAACACTTTCCTTTAAAAAAACACTCAAGACAAGACAAGAGACGGAAACCAAAAGGATTTAGATAAACATGAAACGCTCTCATTAAAAAACGATATTCCCGATTGAAATGTGTGGATATTGCTGTGATATTGTCTCTGTCAGTAGAGGGGAGTTCAGGATCCTCTAGACCTGAGTGGAGTATGATCTCGTGAGAGAGGGTCTAGGGCGGGCGCAGGTGGAATATTCTGAAGGCATGTCTAGACTGCGCTGGACATGGAGCGACGTGAGTGGATCAGGACATCGGGAGGGGCGGGGGCCAGGTATGGCTGATGGTCATGTGATGCCTGTGTATAAAACCCCTGGAACCTGCTGAGCATAGAAAAACAAAGCGTTTCTGAAGAGTGTGAGAGCGAGAGAACAGGGTTAAGGTAACATTAAACCACTGAAGGATGCAATGCGTGCTTAGAATCTGCACAACACAAGGTGACTGGTATCTTTTGGAGCATCTAAGCATAGTACATGATGCCTTAAAATGCTGGAACAGAGCTAATGGGAACCCTCAGACACAATACAGCAAATTCCCCTCCATAACCAAAAAAAAAAAAAAAATCTGTATTTCCACATCCTGGATATCACTCAAAACTGTCATTTTGGTAACCCAGCCCTGGGTCAAAAATGGGACGAACCCAGCGTTAGATTATTGTGACCCATGCTGGGTTAGGATAAATGTCTGTTTATGAAATAAACATTGTTGAATATATATTAAATAGCTTACGTTAAAGTCACCATGAAATCAAAACTGACCAATTTTTGTCAAAGACTAGCCTACGTCCGGATGGGATTCAGAATGATGATCAAAACACAGATGCACTCTAAACAATGCTGGGTTGTTTTAACCCAAATTTGGGTCAAATATGGACAAACCCAAATGTTGGGTTAAAAACGTAATTTAAAAATTTGAACCCAACTTCAACTTTCATTTTCAACTGTAAATTTTTTAATTACATTTTTAACCCAACATTTGGGTTTGTCCATATTTGACCCAAGTTTGGGTTGAAACAACCTAGCATTTTTTAGAGTGTGGAGTCCATCAACACCCTCAAAGCTTCACAGTCATTTCCTCTTCATGCAACATTTCATTCGGTAACGTTAGACAGTTTTGAATGTATATGTTGTTTAATGTTTGATGATTGCGTTGTTTTACATGTGCGTAAGCGTTCTTCCACGACTTGTTTCTGCTTCTTCTTCATGTGTTTTGATCCAGAGATTCTGTACTAGATCCGTAACAGGGCCCGTTACCGTATAACAGTAAAAACATGGATAACATGAACATTCAGTCAGTGGCAGGGAAAGAGTTAAGTAGATTTGAAGTAAATATATTCACAAAGGACTATTCACAAAAATTCAAATACTTTAGAATTAACATCATATCTGTTTTCTTTATAAATCAATATTTTCAAACAGTTTATAAGACGGTAAAACTATTTGAAAAAAGTATTTAATGGGCAACTCAATCAAAATAGTAAACAAAACTTTAAGCCAAATTTGCTTAGAATACTTCATTATACTTGTATTAACTATATCTCGATCAAACGAGATATAGTCCAAATATACTTAGACCTATGGCTATATATTATACTTACACTTCTGTCAGTATAGTTCAAGTAGCCTATACTAAAGTGCAATTTTAAGTTGATGTGCTGGAAGCACGATTTATTGAGTTGTTTAATAAATACATTTGAAAAGTATTCTCACTCCCCTGACTTCTTTCCCCTTGATCCTTGAACCTTATTACAGTCGGTTTTACCGTATCAATTCCAGTGCGAGTCCTCATCCTTTGGAAGTGCATGCAAAGTGGATTCACAGTGCAGAAAACAGTGTCTTCTCAACATGTCGACAACATGTTGCTGTTCAGCTACAACTACAGTGTTTGAGGGTCAAATTAGACGTTGTTCGCGGGCAGCCAATGAAGACCATAAGCTGGCATTATGGAAATTTGTTACAAACCTACGTAGATATGTTATGGAACTGAGACCGGAATTGCTGACGACTCGTTTTGGCAGTTCAGAACCTATTCTGTCTTTTAGGAGACAATCGTCCACTTTGATCTTTAAAACTTTGCAGACGTTTTACACAGCTATTTCACACTGCATGAAAGGTAATATTCGAAAAAGCATAATAGGGGCACTTGAAGTTCCTTTCCAGCTTTATCAGTTACCCTCATCAGTCACCGGTCACTGTTCGAGTGAGAGAAAACAGTCTAACAAAACTGTTGCAGGCAGTTTCAAAGCTCACTCTCGGCTCCGATTAGTTTTCTTCTACTTTCCACACATATTCCTCTCATGAGCATGGATAGGCGAAGTTGACCTTGAACTGTTTGGACTTGCGTGATGTGCTCGTTCACGTTCGCATTCCAAAACCAGCACTGTTGGGTTACTGATTACGAATGATTATTAACCCAAATAGGGCCAAATCAACCCAGCTTCTTTACACAACAGTCTCAAACCAGTGTTGGATCCAATTATTCATGGCTATTTTAAAACCACAAGTGTGTGGATAGCAGACCTGATTCAGTAGAAAAATAGGCACATTATTATACAGTTCAGTTAGCAGTTCGAGTTCCCACACTTCCCCTCCCAATCCTGGTGTCCAATGCACCCACCCATCACCCCTTACCTGAAGGCCACTTAACTTTTCGAGTGGACTCTCTACGCAGGGCATGGCCACCATGGGCATGTTGAGCGAGGGCTCCAGGCGCTGAGGGTGCACAGGGGGCGGTAAGGGGGGCAGATAAGTCTGGGTCTGCTTGAAGTTATTGATCACACATGAGACCTAGAGGTGAACCGAGAGGGGAGGTTAATAATGGCAACAAAAATGCGCAAGGTATTTACTGTATGACAATGCAGGATTAAGGCTTTATGCCCAGAGCATGTTCAGCCTTGGCATGGTTGTGATTGTACTAAGAGGATGAAGGATGGAGTCTAAAGCCAGTGGATTAGCTACAGACTTGCTAAACATCTGAGTACTAGTATTAGCTGTTAAACAGGTCTGTGCTCAGAGTTATGACCCGTTTCACCCTCTGGCATGGCGTGAGACTTTAGATGTATTCCAATTCACACACTATTCATCCTAAATACCGGTAGTTTGCAAGGATGTGTGAAATTTAGATCTTAGTTCGTTGAAAATATTATTATTTCAGGGTGGATTTTCTGTCATTCTTTTTGAACTAATGTTGTTCATAAGCCCTTGTACAACCAAAGTGGTAATGTTCATGATGAATTTACAAATTATGCATATAACAACGGTGCCGTTTATGATGCAAATTCTAGCTATTCGTTAATGTTGTATACATGCAATGTAGTACAATGACTTACTATCTTTATGCATGCTCAAAATTATTACAGTAAGATAAGATTTAGGTAAGATTGTTTAATGTTTTTGACAGAAGTCTCTTACACTCACCAAGGCTGTATTTATTGGATCAAATCAGAGTAAAACAGTAATATTGTGAAATATTATCACAATTTAAAATAACTTTTCTATTTTAATACATTTTTAAAATGTAATTTATTCCTGTGATGGCGAAGCTACATTTTCAGCATCAGTCTTCAGTGTCACATGATCCTTCAGAATTCATTATAATATGCTGATTTGCTGCTCAAGAAACATTTCAATTATTATCAATGTTGAAAACAGTTGTGCTGCTTAATGTTCTTGTAGAAACTGCAAAAAAAATTCAAGATTCTTTGCTCAATAGAAAGAACAGTATTGATTTGAAATAGAAATCTTTTGTAACATAATAAATGTTACTGTCACTTTTGATCAATTAATGCATCCTTTAATGCATCTTTTAAAAATGTATCTTACTGACCCCAAACTTTTGAATGATAGTGCATACATTTTTGAATGGGGATGAATTCTTTAACTGAAGAATACATTGAGCAGTCTGGATGGTCTCCAGGGTTGTCAGATTCTCACCAGAAAAGCAGCGATAGCTCCTCCAGTGAGATATCCAGCGAGAACATCAGACCAGTGGTTGCGGTACTCGGCTACACGCACGATGCCCACCAGAACAGCCAATGACACGAGAGTCAGACAGAGAGTGGGTTTGGTCAGCCTTGTGCCTTTAGTCTTCCATATCAGAGTTACATACATCTGGAGAAAACACAAAAATACACATTGGTATGCATTGCATAAACACATATTTCACGACAATTCGCTCAGCTTTATACAATACAATGCAACATTATGCAACATACAACATTTGTTGTAGGGTGCTTCTCACAGCACCTTAAAAATACAGTATAGATTTATCCATACATATTACTCTTGTCTAATCATTTTCCAACTAAACTCTGCCCATTATATCCTTTTATTTGTGTTAGATGTGTTTTAACTTTTGACTAAACTCTGCCTGAAGGCCAACAGCAGCATCTCAGAGTCTTCTCTTCACTGTTGCAGGAGTTTATTGTGTGCTGCTCAAACTATGACTCTGATGTACTCCTCATCTTGATGTCTGGGCTGTTCACTTTTCTCTGGTTACATTGAGTAATAGACGTCATCCCTTAAAAGATCTACACACTGATGGGGCTAATAGGTTTCTGGAGAAACTTGTTTGTTTTGGCTCTTTTTAAACTCAAAATTTGACTTGAAACGTGAAAGTATACACCGACTTTCAAGAAATACAAGTGTACTCTTCAGTAAAGTGCAAAAGACACTGCACCACTGCCATCTCCACACTTCATTAAAGCTGCATAATCGTTCTCAAGTGTGCTAATAATAGGAAAAAGATATTGAGTACCAAATCAACACATGATGATTATTTCTTAAGGATTATATAACACAAAGTTTCCTTAGTTCACTGGATTAATGGCTGCTGAAAATGGGGCAATCACAGCATAGCATAATTCATTTTAAAATATCTAAAAATAGAAAACAGTTATTTTAAACAGTAATAATCATTTACAATATCACTGCTTTGTCCTGTATATTGATTAATTCAATGCTAAATTGGTTAATAGAATATGAATTTCTTTCAAAAACATAAAACTGTCTTAAAGGAGTAGTTCACTTTAAAAAAAACTTTTGCTGATAATTTACTCACCCCCATGTCATCCAAGATGTCCATGCCTTTCTTTCTTCAGTCGAAAAGAAATTAATGTATTTGATGAAAACATTCCAGGATTTTTCTCCATATAATGCACTTTGCTGGGCACCAAACGGTTCAAGGTCTAAATGACCGTTTCAGTGCAGCTTCAAAGGGCTTTATACGATACCAGACGATGAATAAGGGTCTTATCTAGCGAAACGATCGGTCATTTCAAAAATAAATAAAAAAGTTAAAGTTTTATAGGCACAAATGCTCGCCTTGCGAACTCTCCTGTTCGAACTCGTTTATTTTGATGAACGAATCTTTTTTCGAGTCATTGACTCGTTCATCAAAATGAACGAGTTCGAACAGGAGAGTTCGCAAGGCGAGCATTTGTGCCTATAAAACTTTAACTTTTTTATTTATTTTTGAAATGACAGATCGTTTCTCTAGATAAGACCCTTATTCATCGTCTGGTATCGTTTAAAGCCCTTTGAAGCTGAACTGAAACGATCATTTAGACCTTGAACCGTTTGGTGCCCAGCAAAGTGCATTATATGGAGAAAAATCCTGGAATGTTTTCATCAAATACATTAATTTCTATTCGACTGAAGAAAGAAAGACATGGACATCTTGGATGACATGGGGGTGAGTAAATTATCAGCAAAAGTTTTTAAAAAAATGAACTACTCCTTTAAGTAATGCTATTTTAATTTGGGTCTTGGCATCACAGCAAAACATTTAATTTGAAAATTATCTAAAAATATAAGACAGTTATTTTAAACATTACAGATTATATATTACATTTTAAAAAAATTGGATTAATTAAATGCTATATTGGTGAACAGAATTATGAATTTCTTTCAAAACCCCAAAATTCTTAAGAAATTATATTGTAAACAGGAGTTTGCCATCACAGCACAAAAATGCACAGCAAATTACACTCTCGTGTAATGGAAATCAGCACTACTGAAGGAAAGGCAAGGATGACAGTTATTTCTACATATGCTGTGTCATGTCTGATGTATACTCACCACCGTATAGACAGCGGAGTACATACTCAGTGCCGCGTCCTTCGAGGGGAATGATTTGCGGGCAGAGGTGATGAGGTACGGGTTCCCGGTGCAGGCTCTCCGCTCTGTGATGTACTGCAGCGCTGAATGGCAGCCCAGTGCGGTGTAGTTTGGCCGGCATGTAGACAGGAAGTGAGGTGTCTGGTTTCCTGTCACTACCTGCCCTGCATTGGCAAAGATGGTGGTGGTAAAGAGGCCAAAAGAATACACACCTGAGAACAAGAGAAAGATGCAAAAATTAACGTTTCATCAACCACTTGATAATTATAAGATGATTTTAATATGCTGGCCATTTAGAGTAGTTTGATATACACTATATATGATATACACAAATTTTGTAGGCAGTAAGAATTTTCTTTTTCAGTTTTCAGTAAGGATGCATTAAATTGATCACATTTAGACCTATAATGTTACAAAATATTTGTATTTCAAATAAATGCTGTTATCTTGAATGTTCTTCACCAAAGAATCCTGAACAAAATGTATCACTGTTTCCACAACAATATTAAGCAGCAAAACTATTTTCCACATTGATAATAATCAAAAATGTTTCTTGAGCAGCAAATCAGCATATTAGAATGATTTCTGAAGGATCATGTGACACTGAAGACTGGAGTAATGATGCTGAGAATTCAGCTTTGATCACAGGAATACATTACATTTCAAATATATTAGAATAGAAAAATGCCCAATATGCCAGAAAAGAAGTTGTAACGTGGCAGGAAAAGTTTGATTTTTTATATTTGAATAAGAACCCAAGAAGCAAAGAAAACTGGAGGCATTGCTTACCAAGGAAGCGTACGATGCGTCTCAGCAGTGGGTTGAAAAAGCAGCAGTCAGCCGCTATAATGGTTTTCTCCTGTGTGGCCTCAGGTTTAGTGAAGAAGGATGCGAGCTCCCCCATCAGTATCTGCAGGAGACAGACGTGGGAATGAGATTTCTCAGGTGCATAAAGCTTACAGAGAACAGCTTAGGGGAAACCACAATATTTATTTTCCTTAAACTGATTAAAATGATTGCCAAATGTACAAGGCAACATTTGTCACTGTCAAGACTGCCCGTGTTCCAGTTCCAGTTTCAGTTCCAGAATTTACACGGAGTTCACGAGAATGATAGAATCTCATTTTCAATCCCATGAATGTATAAATGCTAAATGTAGGCTATATCATGTTCAGTGTGCCGTAATGAGACTGCATTCATAAAACATGAATCCTCACAGATTGGAAAGCAACACTACATGCTGACAAATAAAAGTGTCCATGATAAAGAAAATATTTTTTTCAACTCTGGAAAGTTTATTTATATGGTTTTGCCAATCTTGAATTTTCAGTTTTGAAACCCATTTTCTAGAAAGGTTTAGTTCTAGAAAATATTATACACTTTTGAAACATTTAAAGTATATTTAAAAGTATTTGTACAAATATCATGAATTATTAATTCATAAATAATATTTTCTGTTGTGTTTTTTTCTGCATGTTGGTGGCACCATCTGATTTTTTTGGTCATGCCACATGACTTTGATTCAGCAGACAAACTTGTTTGACATATTAATAAGCAGTGAAGCAGTTTCTAAGAAATAATTATAACTTTTGGCTTTTTTTTTTTTCTTCACTATGATATCTGGACAGTATCACTTTTTACTTTATGCTCCCCCCCCACCACCAAAAATAGCTAAGTTTTACTTTTGATTCAGAAATTGAAAACATGCTCATCATATATGCAGTGTTTTCATAAGTCATTGCATTTTCAGTAATTGCACTCAATGAAAAACAAATTATATCAATCCCAAGAAACATGGACAAGCAGAAAATACTTTTAAAAATACACAATTTGCCATGGTGTTTGGTGTCTGAGTTAGTTGCACTTGTGATAAAGTTCGGTTGCCTCAAACTCAAACTTTTTTGCCTTTTTAAGTGTCTTTTTAAAGTCTTTTAACTATTTGACCTTCATAGACATGAAGATCCAGGTCAGCGTGTTATAAAAGTGGTGCTTGTTTTTATGCATTGTTGTGCTAAAAGATCTCTTATCCACTGTCTATTGCTTCATTTTCACCAATGCCACTCCAACCCTCTCACAGAGGGAAAATGGATATTATTCAGGGACATAAAAGCCTGAATTTCAGAGTGACCTTCAAATGTTTACTGATGTTCTATGAATGATATTTTTGTGTGGCATATTGTGGCATTTTGAGGGCTCTTGTGTTGCGGTTTAACAAAAAAGGGTGAAAATACACAGACAGAGGAAGAGAAAGCGAGAGAAAAAAAGAGAGAATGAATATTTCACTAGAACATCCTTGATATATCTGAGTGCACTGAAGCCGCAGTGTTGAAGCAGCAGTGATATGGCAGCCATTGTGCTTTCAAATCCTTAACACACATCATGATTATAACACATCTGCTCTGAAGAGTTTCAAAACTCTGGGAAAACTGACACACACACAGATAGATAAAACATTTGGAGTTCAATGAATGCCTCAGTGTCAAACATTAAAGGAACTCAAAGCACTCTTAGAGTAGAGTTCAGATTCGTGGAAACATTAGCGTTGTTTTATTTTGTGGTTACTTCTGTGTTTTCCTTCCGTAAAATAAAGCTGGATAAAAAATGTATTCAAAATGAATAAACGGTTCAGTCATTTAAAGGAATAGTTAATTCTGTAAATAATAATTCTGTTATCATTTGTTCATCCTCACACATCAACAAAGTCTTTGTAAGAATGTTGTGCAGTTGTGCTTGGAGTCTATTGTTTTATTTGTGATAACGCAATGAAACGAGCCAAATTGTGCAGACATTATTTTTGACCAGGCTGTCATCCAAATAAATTATGAATACATAAAAAAATGAGAGAACCAACAAATTAGTAATAACTGATTTTGTTGTAGTCAATGTATGCTTTTTTCTGTGAGCTTTTTGTTGTTCTATGCAGTTTTTTGCATACTAAAACAAAACCTGTAGCTTTAGTTTGCCTTTTTTTGGCAAATAATTTTCTCAGGTAAATACCTTAACCAAGTTAAGTGTTTTGTTCTTCCCTCATGGTCTGTTTATCACCAATTATGACTTCAGAAGACTTAATATTGCATCATATGGACAACCTTTATGGTACTTCAATGGAGATTTTCAGTACATTAGGAGGCTTAAAAATGTTATCATGTTTTTGTTCAAAATGGCAAAGTTAGGTTGACTTAATTTGACTTACACCTATAAAGTTGGCATGAAATGAATATTCACCCTATCTATTTTCAAAATGTATCCTTGCATATGTTTCATTTGAATAAAATGTCATAATGACCTTCTGGTGAAAAAGACTTGTCTTCATCATTTAGTCCGCTTGTCACCGGACCACCGGTGGGCCCAAATCCATTACATTTTTAAAACAGTAATATCCTATACTAAACCTTAACTAATCTTGACAAACTATATCATTTGAAAGCTTACAATCTCTAGTTGCCATTTTTGGTGATTGATTTTCAAAATGAATTACAGAGGAGCCATAATTCATCAATTTGCAACAAGAATATTTTCATACTCCTAAGGCGTGTTTAGACCTTTATTTTGAAATAGTGATGAACATGAAAAATCACGAAAGAAGGGTAGAAACCTTAGTTTGTTTTCATGCCAAGAGTTCAAAAGATAACATCCATTCAATTATTTTTGAAAAAAAGGTCTGAATTTTTTTTAAATATAAAGAAAAAAATTATAGATTCACCATTTGTGATGTGGCAGGAAGCTATAACGCACATACTTGTTCTTTTTGTGTTTCTTAGAGGTTGAATTCATATCAAAATCTGCCAAACTTCTCATATTACTTCTGAATAGGATGTCTACTTCATAAATTGTATGAAAATTGTGGAAATAATGGTTCATATCACTCAAAACACATTTGGAAATGGAGGCGCCCTTATGGCAGTAATGGAGTCTGGTTGTCATCTAGTGAAAAAGTTTGGTACTGCGCCCAAACAAAATCTTACTGAAAGCTCATTTTTTGAGATATCAACCCAAAATTTGAAACACAACTTGTTCAGATTTTTGACTGATTTTTTTTTTGCAGTTTTAGAGTCGCCCAGGTTTTGAAAATATAAATTTTCTATAAAATGTGAATACTTACATTTTTTACATTGTACATTTTCATAAACTCAAACTTCTATAACTTTTTTCTGTTTCACTTTCTTAATTTATTTCACTTCTACAAAAATCTGCCAAATGTCTTCTTTAAAACGAGACCAATCTTACGTCTATATTCCAAAGCATTCTTGAATTACAACCATTTAAGTTTGAAATGTGCATTTTCATGTATATTCAAAAAAAGGGGGGTGACACTTAAAGGGTTAAACCCTGCAAGTTCACAATCATCTGCCTCCACTTTTGAGTTCATCGCCCATATCTCAGAATCCAATCCCTTTTTTATTTACGATAATCCATTTCAATCGGATGTAGTACATAATTTAATACGGAAGAAATGATCTTTTGGTATTTCCTCTTCATCATGTCTCCTTTTGTGTCAAATGGGTTTGGAACGACAAAACTTTCATGTTTGTGTGAATTATCCATTATTTGTTTGAACTGAAGCAGCAGCAGTATTTTACAGTGACATTGTCACTAGCATTTTGCTGTGGTTTGCTGCATTTGGCTGTAGTTGACATAGATAACAAGAACGAAACTGATAAACCAGCAAGACATTCTCAGTGCTCAGTCCCAGCAACAAACCCCAAAGGCAACATTCTCGATGCTCACTAAACAGACAAAGAGGTAGCTGTCAGTGTCATTTCGTATAAATTAAGACACAAGGTTTAACTTGTCTTCTAGAAGCTGTAGCTGGAGAGGACAAAAAACACGGTCTTTAGAGCGGATTAATGGAAGCTGTTGAAGTGAAGTGCTTACATGTTTAATTGATGAAACAGCTCTGCTGACTCTGAAGACTTTGAGGGAAAGACAGAAAGAAAGGAGTTCAAAGCAAAAGAACATGGTGAAAAACAGATCGATAAACCACCGAAAGAAACAGATTGATAAACCACAGAAAGAGGGAGAAATAAAAAAGAAAAGAGAGATGGTAGCTGAAGTGGCGGGCCTGTCTGTTTCCTAAGGAAATCATGTGAACATCGTCGACACAGGCGTTTTGTGGCAGCTGGGAATGCTGTCAAATCCAAAGCTTCTAGCAGAAAAGTACCAAAAAAAAAATGCAAGCACTTAGGCGATGTTGAAAACACTCTAATGTCTACAGTGGGTGTCAGACTGTCGGTCAACAAATAAACCATACAAACACCACAGAATGCCGAATGATCCGAACGTTCTGGCAAAGGCAAAGGATAAAATCTACATATCTACACTGATGAGCCAAAACTTTATGACCACCTGCCTAATATCGAGTTCTTACCAGAACCAGGAAATATGACCATATTAGCCCAGTTCTGTCAACACTGCATTGGCTGCCTATTAAATTTTAAATTTTAAAATATTGCTGATTACTTACAAAGCACTAAATGGTTCAGCTCCGCAGTACTTGAGCGAGCTCTTAACGCATTATAGTCCTTCACGCCTATTGCGTTTTCGAAATTCCGGCCAGTTGGTAATACCTAGAATATCAAAATCGACTGCTGGCGGTAGATCCTTTCCCTATTTAGCACCAAAACTCTGGAACAATCTTCCTAACATTGTCTGGGAAGCAGACACACTCTGTCAGTTCAAATCTAGACTAAAAACACATCTCTTTGACCTAGCATACACATGACACACTATAGACTTCCTTAATTCAAAATTCGGCTGCATAGTTTAGATCAGCCGGAACCGGGAACACCTCCCGTAAATTCTGATGTACTTGGTACATCATAAGAAGGATGGCGTCTACGCTAATGTTAGTCTCTCTGTTTATCCCGAGGGACCCTCTATGGTGGACCTGCGCCTGGACCCATCCCAACT